TCGGGGCGGGGTGGGGGGTGTGGTGGTGTCTGGCTTATTCCTTTGGTTTGGTCGGGGTGGTTGCTGTAATTAGGAAATTGCCCCTTAGCTGTAAAGGTTTGGGAAGGAGTGAAACTGTTGGAAACGCCAGGTGAAGGTCAGCCAGGGAGTTTCCGTGAGGGAAATGCAAGGGTCGGTTTGTGTGTGGTGGGTTTTTTGATATTAAAATACTGCCCCTATCGTTCAGAAGGTCTTCGTCTGAAAGCATCAGAACATTTCAGTTTGATGTTTCGAAACAAACTTTTCCAGTTTTTCATCCTGAAGTAGAATTTTTTTTAATTTAAAAACGACTAGGGGGAACAGGGGTAAAGAGCGCAAGGTTTTGTTTTGCCTTCTTCAAACCGTGCTTCATCAAGCTCCTCATGTTTTTGGACTCCATTTGTTTGAAAGGCCCACCCAAATTTTGCTCCAGCTCGTCTTAACTAGAAACTTGTTTCCATTTCACTTTGTTGGATAGCGCTGGGTGCATGATCTCTTGCAGTCCTGGAAGAGCTGGGATTCATGGGAGAATTACAGAACAGATCATGAACCATGGTTTGATTCTGCAAAGCCTTATTCGTGTACCTAGCTGTAGACACAGTCAGTGGTTCCATTGACCATGACGGGGCTCTTCTGTGTCTGAAGCTCACAAGTGACAGTGTGAGCAGTGCCATGGTCCATTTCAAGGACCAGAGAGAACTTACACCTGTGTGGTAATTGGAACAGGAAGGAAAAGGCGATGAAACAACTACATGCTGTTTAAAAAAGAGCTACAGGCAGTTTGAGAGTTGGGAAGAAATCATTATCAACATCCATGTAGTTGCAGCTGGGGATCGGGGGTGGTTCTGACAGTCCCTTATTTTTCAGAAGCAACAAGTGCATTGTGCATGTTCTCTAAATGCTTTTTCTTCTTGTAATGGCTTTTGTTACAAAGCAATTTGCCTTGCATCACATTCTTGTTTAGTTCCACTTTTAATTATGTGTCATTTTACATATATGTAAGCTACCCTATTTTATAACAAGCTTCTTTTTTCTCCCAGTCGTATGTGATTTTATGGCTTCGCAAGAAGAAAAACAAGCTCAATCTTTTGCAGACATCTTCGATGAAGATGAAGCTGAAAAATCCTTTCTGTTGTCCAAGCCCACTTGCTTAATTATCCTTGGAAAGCCAGTAAGATGTCTGATAGAAGTTTTTTCTTCAGATATTCTGCTAACAACTTTACTTTTCCTTTCAAGACGTTAGTTTAGTGACACTGCCAAAAAGATCAAAGACCTACTTTTTTTATCTTTTCTGCTTTGCAAATCCTGCTGAGTGTGGTAAAGATTCTGATCTCATTTAATGAAGCCAATTCTTGGCCTGAGTGACCAGTCGATTACAATTAGAAGTGTTATTACTGTAACTAAAAGTCACATGTTGCTCAAGAAGTTTCTTCTCTTTTCACATTGGCAGCTGGATTCTAACTTTTAAAAATCTTGACAGATTAAAGACATAAATAGGCATGAAAGAACTTTCAGGTTAATGTACTGACTTACAGACATGTGATGAGATATTAAATATTTTAATAATAAAACTTTGATGTAATTATATGTCATATATTTGGGAACAACTCAAAAATCCACCAAGGTGTCCTGATAAGGAGATTTGTACTGTATTTTAACTGTAATTCAAGGTCTCTCTTTTTCTCACATAATTTGTGGCCTCCTTTACTTAGGAAAGTTTGATGTTTCATAATCCTAGACTTCTCAGATTTCTTTTTCCCAAATATAGGAGACTCTACGTGTGGTGTTACATTAGTACCTTAGTTTGCTGAAGGGTGTTCTTTTTTTGGTGCAAGTTTGCCTTATGTCTCTACCGAATCTGGTATGCATTTAAGCATACCACTGGTGCCCTGAAAGCTGCTTTCCTCTCGCACATTGCAGTTGCCTATGAAAGGTGCCTTCAGAGCACCCCACTTCCAGCATGAACACAAGATCCCCTAGGAGCTTGCCCTCCGCATTTGAGTGTGATGCCATTAGGTACCACAACAGACCCTGAAATGACTGTATGGAAATCTGCTTTGCACTGCCTAGCAGGTGGAGAGAGAAACAGTGTGCACCTAGAACTGGCAGCCAACCCAAACTTCAATGCCAATTGAGCCACCAAATCAAGCCCCAAATCAATGCCATAGTGCTAAGATAAGCTACGTCTCCTTTCTTCAAAAATTTTCACCAGGCTGGAGTTGCTGGGTAGTGCTTGGCTGCAAATCCTTACATTTGACCAAACTGAGAGAAAGGAGGCAGGGTAGTGTTCTGCAAGTGGATGGGATACGAACGTCACAGTGAGACTGTGTAAGGGGATAGCCAGCAAACGTGCCTTATGGTCAGCATGAGGCCTGAAAGAGTGCATTCCGCTCAGTAGAAAAGTACAGTGGACTGGCTTGCCTAGTTTTAAACAAACATCAAATTTCTGACCTTACATGAAAAAGATAACTTTACATTTTTATAGACCAAAGCAGCATAAAGTACTCATTGAAAGACAATGAAAAAAAACATGTAAGAAATAGATATTCTCATCTGAAATTGTTGCCTTCACTAAATGCTGGATATTGATACAAATTTTAAAAAAGGGTTGAAATTGCACAGGCCTGTCCAAGAGAGCAGGGAATTAAATACTCTATTTTTATGATAATATTTTTTATTTATATGGCTGATGTGTAGAGCATCTATCTTATTTAAGACATTTTTTTAAGTGAAAAACATAGAGCCATTAAAGCAAAACCAAATCCATATATTCTCATCGCTCCTGTAAGATGTAAAGTATGAGTAGGCTGGAGTGTTTGCTGAAACACTGTTAACTATGAATGTGATTTATTTGTGGTTTTTTACTACGTTTTCATCACAAACTTTATCTAGGGCAAACAGCCTGTCGAAAAAGGTCCTCTTGTATGCCCTTGAAAAAAGGGCATAGTCTTAAGGGTGGAAGATGGTGAGTTTTGAAAAATCCCATTCAGGTAGCTGTACTCTTTGAGGCCTCGTTACTCTTGGTTATGTTGGTTCTTCAGGATTAAAGTAAGAGAAAAGACAAACGTTTTGTCAGTATCTAAACCAGACTTGTGGACTAACAGGGGCAGGTTTTATGTATTCATTGTTTTAGTCAAAGAATACTATCCCTATGTATCTTACTCAGAAACATCTGAACAGGTTTGCGTCATAATTTGCTTTGAGACTGAAGATAATAAATTTCCATCCTAAAGAGTTTCTCATAGGAATTTATGGGCAAATCATAGCTGAGTTTTAGATAGGGTTACATGGAAACAAAGTCAGTATAATTACTTAAATAATTAACTGCAAAGGACAGTAACAGTGTATTAGCAATGCTAGGCACTATAAAATAGAAGATGGTATTAAAAAGAGTGTGTTTGCCCAGTGCATAACTCAGAGGCCCTAATCCTGATGGTAGCTTTTAATTGTTTTTATCATATGAAAATATAGTCTTTATTGTGTAATATGTTTGGGGTTTTTTTCCTTCTGCCTGTTTTTCTTTTAAATGTGTATTTTTCATTTTAAGGGTTCTGGAAAGAAAACATTAGCTAGAAAACTAGCACAAATATGGAAATGCATTTTCATAGAAGGTAAACATACACTATATTTGAAATATTGCATTGGCTTCATAATATCTTTTGGTTTAGAATATCCTCACTGTTCCCTGTAATTCAACATGACCTGTTTCCGATTGCAGTAAAAACTGCTGATAAGGACCAAGTAACCATTTTGCCAGAGATGCAATTGCTGAAAAATGGCCTTTTAATTATAGAGAGGCTTAGAAAAAAATTATTTTTTTTTGCAGAAGGGGATATACATAACACATAATAATCAAGTTCTATTCCCAGTCCTGTAAGGTGATTCATGTGTTCTTTCTTGCTCACATGGAGGAAACTCATTCAACTCCAGACAACAGAGATTTTCCAATACAGACCATGAAGAAATAGGAGCTCTTTCCTTTCTGTTTGTGCAGTGCCTAATACAAGGGGAGGATGTACTCCAGGAAACAGAAGGGTAGTTTTTGTATCACTATAAGTAATAATGGAAGGAATGGGAGCTGGCACTTTCAAATTTCTAAAACGAAAATACCCGACAGCTTATTTCAAAAGATGTAGTTGATTTCTTCCACCATGCATTTGCCAGAATACAAAGTATCCTTTCATTTTCTAAGCTATCCATCTCCATTTCTGACAGTCCCTCTCATCAAACATTTTTGAAGATCTGTAGAGTAAAATCTGTGGCTTACAACATTATCTTATTTCCTATCAACCTATTGCTAGAGGTTTTTTTTTTTCATTCTGAGGCATCTCAGCAAGCAAGAAGGTTCCTACAAAAAATAATTGTCTCTGGCAGTTTTATTTTGTACTAATTTTGTCAGCAGTAACTAAAAAAATCTAAAAATCTGTAATTTCTATAAGGCCCTGGTAATATTTTTGTATCTGTGACATCATAATTCACAAATCCTGATTCATTCACGTAAGTTTTATGAAAAAGGAAAACTTTTCCACCAGATATGTCCTACCGGTTTGAAGGCTAGTATCTTTTTAAGTAGAAGAAAAGAAAGCACATAATAACCTTAACTACGAAGTAATTTCTTGAGTGCCTCTTTGGGGACACCAAATTATAAATCTGATTTTATGGTACGTGTACCTTCTGATTGCAAACTAACTCTTTATTTTCATTACATTTTTTCTTTTAAATGTGCACCCTAGTATTTTTTATTGTTCTAATAAAAGCCCTCTAGTGGACAGTGTAACACTTCATATGCCTGTGAATACACAGGCTTATTTATCAAAGGAAGTGTCTTTATCTTACATTGAAGATTTGTAATTATAATATGGTAACATTCAGTTTTAATAAAGTGCTTTTTTGATTTGTGTAAATATAGAATTTTTAATTAATAGGATTGTCTTACAAAAAACCTTAATACCTGGTCCAAAATATAGATCAAACCAAAATGGACGGGACCTTAGGAATGTATTTAAGCCAATCCGCACTGTTTGAATGTATTTAAATCATTACTGACAAATGTCTATCAAATTTATTTTTAAAAATCTCTAGGCAGTCTATCTCTATAACACAGTCTTTGCCATGGCAAATAATGCTCTCCCAAATACCCAGTCATAGTATGAAGGATAGTATGCATGACAGTCATCATTACTTGTAAGAGCAGTTTGAAAAAAGCACTGTGTTCTGGGGAGAAAGATTTTAGCTGTATAGGCATGAGCCACATGGCTTCAGGACCTTGGTTTATTAATAATTTAGATGTAGCCTTAAGGGTCATTCCTGAAAACTTTTGTGTCTGCTTAGTTCAATGGTATAGAAGTGTGAAAGACTTCCAGGATCGTTCTGCTACGATGTCACTGTCCACAGAGACAGAGGGCAGGCCTTTGAATTTGATGGGTGTCAAATTTAGTATTTATTTATTTTTAGATCATTAGACTATATAAGGAGTAGATTTTTACAGGCGTTTTAAAAAGCCCTTTAGGCACACAATTGGTTTTGCATGTCTAAACAGTTCTTGTTCTAAAATTTGCTTTTAAAATTTGGGAATTGTTTGAGCTCAAATACTCATCTCTGGATTATGCAGCAGTAATGCTAATTTGATATAAATCAGTAGTTAAAATAGTCCTGCAAGGCTGCTGTTGTGCATTTATCTGTAGTATGTATAGAAAAATATAATAATGTCCCTAAATATAATGGCTGTTCATTCAAAAATAGTCTGGTTGCTTGGAGCACACATACATATGCGTATGCGTGTGTGTGAATGTATGTATCTCTGCATGTACATGTCTGTATATAAAATATTTTGTATTAATTATTTAAATTTTTTTCTGTCTGATACGCTTTCTCAGCTTTGGAAGTAATTCAAATGAATATTCATGAAGAAACAGAATATGGTCTTAAGGTAAAGGTCTAATCTTCTAGCAAGTTTTGTCATATTCTTGACAAATACACATTATATAAGACTATGTTTTGCATTTTACCTTAGTGTCAAGAATTGCTTTTTAAAGGTCAAAGTATTTCTGAAGAACTGGTTACAGAAATGATTCTGAAAAGGATTGAGTCACCGGAAGTTGCTCATTTTGGTAAGTATATTTAGCCTAGATATTTTAGAATGAGCTAGCTATAATTTTGACACACTTTGCATCCATTACTGCTCAAATATAATTTATTTTGTATTAGACAGTAGCATCTTTTCTTGTGCTCCTCAGATTGTGGAATATCCGTAAAATGAGAGCGTGTTTAGGGATTAATTTACCATTATGGGAGATCAGAAAGTGTGGTGCCAATCCTATGTTGTGTTAACTTTGGGAAAATTAATTTGCCCCAAATTTTTAAGTGTTGTTATGACTCTCATTTGACAATATTATCTGGTTAGAAAAGTTTTAGGATTTAAAATACAGATTTTCTTTGCTTGAATAGTTCTGTAACAACAAAAAAGCCACCAGAAAAAATATTTTAAACATTTAAAATGACGAAAAAGAATGAAAACATATTATTTAAAATGCAAATTATTATGGTCTCTTTTTTTTTTTTTCCTTACAACATTGTTTATTCCCTTTGCATTTTGTCACTGAGAGTAAGTTAGGTGAGAATGGTATTGGTGGTGGTAATAATTCTTCCTTTAAGGAAAATTTTGTTAATTGAGACTGTTTAGACTAGCACTGGGTCTCGCTAGAGTCTGAACCTGCTTTCCTGAAGAGAAAACAAATATACTGCTAAGTGGAAAGAAATAAAAGAAAATGTAGTTTCTTTTTCTGGTGCTGTCTTGTATTTGAAATTTCCATTACAGGAGAGAGACAGGTGTAGTGCCAAGAAAATGTTGAGTTTCTACTTGTCTGGGAATTAGCACGCTTCCATCATCTTTCAGTCACAATGGGTTTTGTTCCCTCTCTAGTCAGTTTTGGAAAAGATGCAGCCTTACCTGGTGAAACCAGGCTTTTAAAGCAGTAGACACAAGACAGAGAAATAGGGAAGAAATTTTAAAAGGGAGATGATAAGGAAACAAAAATTTGAGGGAAGAAGTAGCAGCAGAAATGCCACTTTTAATCCATACGTCAGCATTTCAATAAAAGCCTGAAGAAATGTCTGTGTTATCCGAGTTCACCACTCTTTGAGTCAGTCTGATGATGACTGAATAAGATGTGTGTATCACAGAGGACTACAGAGATCCTAGAGACTGTAAACATGGCTGAAGTTGATAGAAATTTGGTTCTTGTAGCCCAACCATTTTCTGTGTTACAGATGCCCCAAAGTAGCAAAGTGTAAAACAACCTACATCCTCGCTGTTTTTCCTGCCAACTAGAACTCATCTGCAAAACCAATTTTCGTTAAGTATTTTCTAGTTCTAATCACTCTTTGTTTAGCAACTATCTTAATATAATTCTTGGAAAGCTTAAGTAGGCTTTCAGCAGAAACTAATCAGTCAATTGGCTATTAGTTATTCATTAAAGATTTTAGAAACAGTGTTGTGTGAGAGGCTGAGGTTTTTACTTTTAACTTTTGTTTTTAGCATTGTAAAATACGAGTTTCTAAACAGTATGCACAATTACATTCTTCCAACTTAAATGATAAACAGGTATTATGTTGGGGACTGATGTGTCAGAGGTATTCAGAAGTGCTAAAACAAATGATAATATTTTAAAATTCTAAGTCACTAAAAGCAGATTTTTTTTTTTTACTTCTGAAGGAGGTCAGATATGAAGCTTCTAAGCTATTTCTTGAAATAAGCAGTATCTCTTTTAAAAACATAAATAACATAGACACTGAAGGATTGGAAAATAACAAGCATACCTGTATTTTAGGGTATTGTAGGTAAGAAAATACAGAATTATAACCTTTATGTAGTTGATACACTTGTTGGTTTTTTTTTTAATAGAACAAGAAAACAACCAGAAGTTCATATCATGTTAACCTAAATAACACTTGAAAAGGAAAAATCTGTGTTAACATCACAGGGGAAAACTGCTCAATTACCATGATTTAAATCAAATCAGGACCCAATTGTTTATTGATTTATTAATCACAAGTAATTAGCTGGCCATCAGTAAACTGGCAGTCAGTGAAGAGGTTCAGTTTCAGCCACACAACAAACCACAGCACTTGGCACTTGCAAAATATTAATAAACACCAACAAATTTCTAAACACCCTCCTAAAACTGGTTCCAAAGAGCATACTCAAATTTGCATGGTTTGCATGCAAACCCTCCCTCAAAGATGGGTGGAAGTTACAAGCACATTGAGAACAAGTTACAAGCACACCTTTGCTGAGAATCATGTTCACCTATTTAACCACACTTTCTGCTGGAAACGTGAGTGCTTTGTCTGTGCATGCATTTCCTCCACACGCCAGTGAGAAAGCTCCATGAAAGGTCACATATGCACATTGGAGGTGCAGTTCACTGCTTGTGTTAACCCTGTTCTGTCAGTCCAGTAGTTGAAATGCAGATTGCTCACAGCATCCAATGGGGAGGCCTAGATGGAAGGTTGTAATGCTGGCACATCAAACCTGGTTTGGCTGCTGTTCTTTTACCTTGTTCTCACTCTCTAAGGTGTCTTTCCCCAGTCACAGGTGTTAATGCTTCTTTAATAGGTCTTTTCAAGATGACTTCTTCTCTCCTCCAAAGTTTCTTGGTAATCTCCTGGTTACTATTTGATCTGGTTGATAGTTGCCTTAGGTAAACTTCATCACTATTAGTGTCCCCACAACATTATTGGTTTGGGGGCAAACACCCTCTCAGAGAACAAACAATTTGGGATAATCTTTTCCCATGTTACACTCCCATTCTTCTCACATCAGCTGTTGTTATCTGGGATGTGTTGATAAGCAGAGGCTGTGCAGACTCCCCACATCTCACTACCAGTTAGAATTCTCTGAAGATATCAACAACTGAGAATCCAGGATTTTCATTTCCTAGAGGAATGACTATATATTATGCTCTCTCTTGCTTATCCTCTTCTATAAATTTTGCATCTCTGGATAGTAGCTCCCTAAAGGAGGAGTCTTCAGTCCTAAATACCTCCTGCAAAGACTGCTGCTATGTTTTTGTGCTGTATAGACTAGCATTTAAATGTTATCACACAAAATTCTAAGTATTTGGAGTGTGCACCATTTCTCTAAGGGAGTATTCTCGTTATTAGGCTAAAAAAATCCACCTGAATCTTATTTAGTCTCTCATTCTGGCCTCATGAATATTGAGTTCCTTGCTATACAGTAGTTCTTACTGCACTGCCTGCAGCCATTAGTAGTTACAGCACTCTCCTAGGAACTTGAAGCCATGAGTTCATCTGTGGGGCTGAGCACTCTAATACTAGGAAAAAGGTATTATTACCACCATGCTTGTCATATATACTATATGTGTCTGTTTGCCAAAGAAGACTCAGCATTGTGAATCATGCGTGAACAGACACTTACCAAGTTAGGTGCCTCAGTGTGCGTGCTGTGTGCATAGTGCCTCCTTTTGAGAGGATTTAACATCCAGGAGCGCTCTGTGTCCCACAGGATATGGTCTATAGGCTATAATGTCTGAGCTAGGCACACAAAGCACATGGTCTGATATGACCTCTAATGTCTACATATTTCTTAGATTTCTTAACTGAGTTAACAAACTTTAGAGTCCTATATCAAGTTGAACACAACACACTTTTTTGTCTGTATTTTGTCTGAACTAGACATGGGTGCACAATTTCTTTAATAGTGGTATGCCATGTACATGATTTAAAATTGTGCTACTAAATGGATGTATTGTTTAAAGGAGAAGAGTATAACTAGTCCTATATTTGACATAACCTTCTAAAAGATATCTTTAATAAAACGTATTCGGCAGGTTATGTTCTCAGTGGATTTCCTTCTCTCTCAGAGGAATACTTGACTGTTTCACAGCAAATAGAGAAAATAAAGAATCTAAAGTTAAAACCAGATTTCGTGATTAACATTAAGGTAATGTCATCTTCAGTAACTTGCTAGTCATTTTCCTAATTATTAGTAGAGTCATATGCTGCATAAGTCAAAAGATAATGTTTTCCCCTGTGCATTTGAGTGTGGTATATATTGAGGAATAATGAATTGTTCTCTTATATATTGGAATGGAATTACACTAGTTTGTTCCTTTATAAGCATGGCTTATGTAAAATAATGAATATTTCCTAAGATTTCAGTAGCAGTTACAATCTTTGCACCTCTACCAATTAGAAGATATAGGATTTCAAGAAAAGAAAATTTTGAATAACATTATTATTATGCGATTTTGGATACACGTACGTCTGCCATTCATGCATTTCAGGAAGAAACTTTTCACATATGGAAGTTAGAAAACAAAAGGGTTTATTTTTTACTCACTAATTATGAAACTGCTTCTTAGTCATTATTAATTCATCTCATATGCAAATCTCAATTTCTTCACAAGTAGTAATGTAACATACCAAATACTTTACAAAAGTGACTCTGATATAACCAGAGAAACATAAATCATTGTTAGGGTAGGATTAAGAGGACTTTCTCAATGTAACTTAAAAGAATGGGCTCAAAACAAGGCAAGAGCGACTCTTCAGACCAACTGGTTTGGCAGAACACAGCTGACCTGTCTTGTTACTCAGAATGGGGCGGCTGTGAGCAAACTGCCCACTGGGAAAGGCCCCAGGGTTGTGCCATTTTCCAGATAGTGCCCAGCTGTTCACCAGGGAGAATACTAGCTGGCTTACAACAAACTTTGCTAGACTCCATGCAGACAGTAACAGTGCATATAATCATGAACAAGGGTTCAGGCCCTTCCTTTTGCAATGTTTTATTTATTATCAACCCAGATTATTTCTATCTTTTACTCTGAATGTGCAGAATGAGCTGCCAGGGCAACTCTGAATAATCAGCTTCTGGTGTTGTCCTCCATTCTCATTGGGACTTTGATTCTAGTTGTTGTATCTATGTGGTTTGTCAGATGCTAAGCCTCAGTGCACAGACCAAGTCTATCACATTACCAGATTTAAGTCTGTGTTTATTTTAATGACAAGCTTCTTTACATTCCATATTTTTGAGACTTAATTTGTTTGACTATGCATAATGAAAATTGTGAATGCCTAATTCAAATCTTTTTTTCTATACTCATAGAAAATCTTAAGACATCAGAGAAACACATTTTTGTGCTACTTTTCAGGCAGTTTTGATTTTTTCAGCTACAGAAATTCAGTCTTTGTTTTAATACCAGATAGTGAGAAATCCCAGTTCTTGAGAATGTATGTTGTATAGTGTCATGTGCAACAGTACAAATAGAAGTGTGATACTAACTACACTAGAAAGAAAAGAATCATTGACTTCATGTAGTTACATCATCTTCTCCTCCATGAAGAAGACTGAATGCTCATTAAAAATCCTTGCCCTAAAGTCAAATGAATAATTTTGTGTTTGATTATAGTGGGTTCAAGCTGTTTTCACAGATATGTCAGAATTGTAGCCATTTTCATTATATCAAAAGGAAAGGAAGGCGGGAGATTCTAGATAACTCTGGGAATAATGAAATACTCTTATTAGCAGACCCATTTAGAGAAGTTTTGTTTCTCCGAGAAAAACCACAGAAGACACACCTTTGAAAAAAGAACCATATCTGGTCAATTTTCTCCTTCCCCATTTTGAAATGTGCAATGTCATATAGCAGTCATGTCAGCTGTATGACTCACTGTAGAAATACTGGAATATCCTGAGGTATTGTAATACTTCAAGGGATACCTCAGCAAAGTGTAGTGTGCCTGTTGCTAGCAATGTGATCTCAAAAGCCTTATTTTCTGTAGCAATCAATTCTCCATTTCTTTAACAATTTGACCTTAACAACTACAATATCTTCTTGTTATCTCAGGTTTTTCATATGTGTTTGAAGGGTGGGTATTAGTGATTTAGAAAGGAAGAATGAGTATTGTTTGTTGTGCCCCACTCCCAGTTCCATTGTAGAATTTTAAGATACCCATCTTAAAAAAATAGTCAATATTATCTTAGCTCAGAAGTGGGGAGGTGGAAACAGTCACAGAATGTTAGCTTTTAGCTGAATGTTTTAGTTAGGGTAAATGTTTTAGTCAGGATATTTAGTTAGGAATGTTTTAGTTAGGATAAACTTCTTAGGCAGACCTCTCAAACCTTAAGTACTAATAATTTTACCACAGCAGACCACATCCAGATTTATCTGTGTATGCAGGGCTATTTATGGAAAAACCATTGCTTACTCTTCCAGAGCTCCAAACTGCTGAACTCCTTTGGCCTCTGACACGACGGCATTATGCTTTTGGGTAATAAAGCTCTGAGAAGTGAGAGGCACCCAGTAAAATTGACTTAATCTTTCTCAAGTCCAAACCACTTTGGCATTAATTGCAAGAGCAATCACAAGCTTGTCTACAAAATACTTTTATGCATAAACTACATCTACACTTGTTATATTGAAAGGTATAACTTGCATGGTAAAATGTGCTCAAGTAGTAGCTATACTCATGATATGGAATGTAAAATGCTGATGGGGAAAAACTATGCAAGTGTTTAAATCTTTAATATTTGCTGCTTTTGAAAATTTTGTGTTTACTCAAAATGTTATTGGAGAAGAAGTATATGGATACAAATATTTGCCAGACAGACTCCTACCTCCCATTGAGCAGTTTCAGGAAAAATAAACACAGTAAACACACAATTTCCTTTTAATTATTTCTTGCCAGTATTCAGATTATGACTTATGCCAAAGAATATCAGGACAAAGGCAACACCCTGATTCGGGGCAGGTATATCATAGGAACCAGTGGGATCCTAATGTTATTGAAAAGCATAAGAAAGAGAAAGATCAGTATGAAGAAGAGAATGAAGAAGAAGACAAAGAGCAAGAAGAAGAAGAGGTAAATATTGTGAATTTCTAAACAGTGCGAAATATTATAATGTACTCTAGACAAAGGAGAACAAATTCCAGTATTCTAAAATATCACCGTGCTACATTATGAATTAACTTCACTCAACTTTAATCTTAATTCAGTTTCTGTTCTGCTTTAGAAGATGTGGGATAGTACTTAAATGGTAGATTTAAATGACAGCAAATGGTGATTATTATATAGCTTAACCCTGATTCAGTCTCTAACTTGGAAGTCACTGAACGGTTTCTTGTCATAAGTTAAAAGGGTGTATCAGGAGAATGGTGACTTTACATCGTCTGTTTCTTGGTCTAAGCAAATCAAAGACTTAGTAATTTTTGTTTATTGTAGCAAGTTTTACTAGTATTTGCAGGATACTATCTTGTTTTCTGGTTTTGGTGTTAGACTACTACAAATGGATTTTCTTTTTTTTTCATGAAGGTATTAATTTTGAATTCAGGTTGAATTGTTCTGGTTTATAATGCTGGCCCGATATTTATCAGTGCAAGTTCTAGGCACATTCCTCTCAAGTTGCAGAAACTACACTTCATCAGGAGAGAATCACAGTCAGCAATCACTGGACTAATACTCATTGCAATACTCTGGAAAGCTACTTTATCTACCTTTGAGTAAAGACAAAAATTAGTTTAGTTCATTATTTTATTTCTGTATCTTGAAATATTTAACTTTTCATTCTGCAGACTGCAGAAGATCCGCTTACAATGTCAGAGTTTTTGGATCAGTTAGTGCAGAGGCCTGAAGATATTCTTGAAAATGCAGAGGAAAGAATTGGAATGTATAAGGATATAATGCTTCATCCTTTGGAAGTAAGAAAAAGCAAAATAAGATGATTATGCATAACAAAACATTTTTTAAAATATCTTGCACTGTTTTCTTTTTTTTTTTTTAGTTTGAGATTTATTTTATGGAGGTGGGCACAAGGCATGCTACAACATATCCCCAAGTTCTAAAATTCATACTGAAATCAGTGATACAAAGTTGTCATCTGTAGGTGTGGTTTCCACTCTGGAGTCAATATAAAGTAATCCACTTTGAGTCTGAAAAGTAAAACCATACCTGCCACCACAGACACTTCCTAAATCTAGGAAGTATTTGAAGAGCCCAGTGTATCATCACCATTACCAGAGCCCATTCTATCTCTTTGCATCAATTGGCCTTCGACTCCAATAGATTCCCTTTCTCACCTGCTTCATTGTCTGCAGATTTAGATACAAAATGATTAGCCCATCAGTTTGCCTTATCACCTATTTCGTTTCTGCAGCTGTGGCATTGTTTTTTATTTTCCTTATTGTATTCAGGAAAGTCAGATTTACTATGCATCTTTTTTTTTTTTTCCCCAAAAAACCCCCAGAACAAGTCCAAAGCAATAATTCATTCTTTTCTTTTTTCTTTTTTTTTTTTTTTTTTAATCTCCTGGTACAAGCAACTGCAAAAGCCTCATGTTTGCTGTATACTTGACAATGTTTGTTTATGCTGTTCAATTTCCCTATGGATTAGATAAACCTATAGATAAAATCGTGTAAAACTGGTATAATGTTCTTTGCTAGAGCAACAAACTTGTTACTGCTGTGAAGGGGAAAGTAAAAAATGTGACATCTTTAACCATTATACAATCTCACATGGATTTCTCTCAAGCAAACTAATGGGAAGTTGTTTAGATTAAACTACTTCAGGATGTACACCAAACTTCAAGACTTCCAACACGTTCCACTGGTTGGTAGGTCTTACCAAGAAATCTGTCAATTAACATTGTCACCATTTTCCAGCAGAGAATTAAGGTAGTTAGACAATTAGGAGTTGAATTAGTACACAAAATGCTACTGTATTATGATTCTTTTTAGCTCTCTTGCATTTGAGCTAGGATATCTAATCTGTTTTCTGAACCCATAATTCCAATTTTGGCATTCTCTCTGTATTTATCAATCACTAAATAAAATTTCTCTCCAGAAGATTTTATGAATCATCAGCACAATGAATCTTAGTTTTGCTGTAGTCCACAGGAGTCCAGCCTTTGGTATGTATAGGAACAGAATGAGCTTCAGTGTCATCTGCTTAACTATACTCAATTGATGAGTATGTTTTTGTTCTTAAACAGGACCTGATGGCTGAACAGGATTGCCAATATCTTATTGAACTGGATGGAAATCAGCAGCCAGATGATCTCTTTGTAGTAAGCTATGCACTGACTTAGTTAACCTCCGCTAGAAAATAATTTCTCAATGCTGTGGATTGTTTTCTTTATAAAGGTGTTGGCAAAATTTTGTATATAAAACTCATTTAATTACTCTTAGAAAACAGGAGCTTTGAAATGCTTGCTCTGTTAAAACAATTACAAGATTCATTGCACTGCCCCCAGGCTTACATATATGTTACATGAGAATACTTTCAGGCAGGCTACAAACTTTTTGTATTATAGCCATCTGGTTTTAGCACTTTATTTTGTGTATTAGTGTAAAATATCATCATTAACATGAGAAATTAAAACATTCTCAGTATGATATATTTACAGAATTGGCTTATTTTGTGCTTATGTCTAAAATGACAGAATTTTTACGAACTTTGATATAGTTTTACAGGTACTTCATTCCTTTAACAATTCTGCTGAGTGCTTGTGTCTAGATTTTTAGCTCATAACATAGCAACTCATTCTCCCTATTTAACTACAATGATAAAATTTGAAAATAAATAATCTTATCCTCTGCCTCAAAAGTAAGAGTTGCTTCAAATCAACCTAAAATATGGGGTTGAAAATGAAGTGAGAGATTGTCTTTGACAATGTAGGAATTGAGCTGCTCCTTCAGTTTCCCCTCTGTTGTTTGAAACAAATTGAGACAATTATAATTCTGAAAGTATTATTTCAATTTATGCTTAACTTTACTACCAAGAGTAGTCCTATGGGAAAAAAAAAACCCAACACACTAATTTTGCAGAGTTGGAACAAAAAATTTCCTCATTTATGATGTTTGTGAACATTACAACAGAAAATTTATAGTAAAGGCAATCAAGTTGTGTAATGATTCAAACCATTTTACCTCTAAATAAGGCAAAGACCTATTATGAAACTAGTCCAGATGGGACAAAATTTACTTTTTCCTTTCAAGAACACTTGCATTCAAGCAAGATTACATTCAGGAAATACTTAAATTAAATTTAATATCATCTGATTCTCGTTGGCAGACATCTGGTTTAAGTATCTTTTTAAATAAATTACCCAAAGTTGTATTAATTCGAAGTGTGCATAATCTGATCTCCCAAAGAGACTTTCCATATTTTCAGATTGGAGCTCATCTGAATACTTCCACTGCTTTGTGGGAAAGAATCCTTCACAGCCTATTCCTTTAGAAGGGTTGGGATTCACAGCATAATGAGGAGATACAAAGGCTGTGATTCAGCATTTTGCACTGCCTGTATCTACCAAGTAGCTTGTTAAAACTCAGCTCAATAACTAGCATGACTCCAAGCTAGAAACCAGGCCTTAGTGTATGTGTAGCCATTATATAATAAGTTACAATTTTAAAAATACTTTTGGGGGTCCTTTTGGATCACAAAAGCAGTTCTGATTTGTACTAAGTCAGGAGTTATTTTCTCTTTAGTCAGTGGTAGTTCGACTTCAATCTCTGGGTGTTCGAAATGGAGCTCCTATAACTAGACTTCAGAGTCAGCAAGAAGAAATGCTGGAGGGACTGGAAAATGTAAGTGTGCTTTTCTAAAATGTGATTGACTGAAATAATTATAGAAATGGGTTTTTTTCTGCTGTAAGCTTATATTATAATGTCTTTGTTTCACAGCAACCAGTTTGTTTTACCATGCAATAAGGGCATTTTTTGAGCCTTGATTTTTCCAGAAATGTGAATTTAAGATAATTCTGGGACTGAAAACCACTTAAAAGTGTATGAAAAGAAAAAAGTCTGTCATTAAAAAAAAAGTTAGATGATAAAATAAAACTTTGAACAAAATGTTTGTTTTGGCAATAGAATAGAATGAATGAATAGAAATTCATGCCTTCCAAGAAAATAAACTTTAGCCAAAGGATAACAATCACAGCAGGTGACTCTTAGCTCTGTCTTTACTCTTTTCCTGAATGAGAAACAGCATGCTAATACAAATTTAGCCACATTCTGCATAGCTGAAATCACATGCATTGTTTTTCCTGTAATTAATTAGAAACATGATAAGTTAGTGCTGAATTTTGCTGAATCATGACAATTACAATTTTTGTCCCTTCGAAATAAAACTGAAAACAGAATGTCTTTACATTAATGTCTTCACCTATATTCACTTGCAGTCATCTTTCCTTTTTCTTAAAAAAAGTTTTGAATATATGAATGGTACTATAACTGGGAGACCCCACTATACATTTTTAGAGAAACATCCTCCTCTTCACTTTTCTGTTTTCTCAGTCCCTGACAAATTCACAAGTGAAGGACTTTCTGAGTCAGAGGACGTCTGTATTTATTATTTTGTTAGTCTGTGTGTTTGTGTTAATCTGTGTGTAAGCTTTTAGCATCCACAGCATTTGGGACAAAGAGTTCTGCAGCTTAACTGGATATTATATACAGAATTATTTCCCTGTGTTTTGAACCTGCCACCTTTAACTCGGTCTCCTCTAATTGTTGATGTGCAAAAGTCAGTAAATAGTTTTATTCTCTGTAACTGCCCTCTAAGAACTCATGATTTCAGACTTCTGTCCTGTTCTTCTGTAGCTGTCTTATTTCTTCTTATATGAAAATCTTTTTGTGGGATTGATCAGTCATATTACATTTTTCTGAGACTTCCAATTCTACTGCGTACTTTTTGAGATTAAGGTAGCAGAAGGCACATAGCAGTAAAGATGAGGGCAGGATTTATACAATAAAAAAAAAAAAATTGTACCTTTTTATTGTTTTAAACTTCCAAAAATAATAAATTAAGCCTACATAAACTATTTTTAGTTAATAAAACCAAAGAACTTAATAGTTTCTCCTTAAAACTGTCCTACAATTCTGAAATACATAAATTTTTTTAAAGATTCTAAAAAGCATGATGTTTTCTTTCTAGGTTTCCTTATTGTCCAAGAAAATATTTCAAAAAAGGCTAAGAACAAGGCATTTGTAGCTTCAGACAAAAATTACGTATGCTGTTATTGCTCTTTTAATAAACAGGATGAACTTTTCCGGGTTCTGTCATCTTACAAACTAATAGCACACAGATATCGATGGCGTAGAAGCAGGTGGGGACAAGCATGTCCTGTGGCTCTAAAGGAAGGTGATATTGTAATGGGAAACCCAGACTTGGCTGTCAGGTTAGTGGAATTTGACACTTTTCATTTTTATTTCTACTTTAAAGATAACTGACTGCATCTGTTAGCTTCTCTTCTGTTTTAAGTTTTCTAGGTAAAATGTATGTACTGTCATCCCCAGAGGCACTGAAAACATTTATGTTGAATCCACGGCCCTACCTGTTACCACCAATGCCACTTCCTCCTTGTAAAGTACTAGTATTTGGTCCTCCATTCTCTGGAAGAACAACTATTTGTAACCTAATTGCACACAAATATAAAGGAAAGGTAGGTTTATAAATGTCATATGTAACACGGGTATCAGCTGAATCCTGGAAATCAGTTAAGCACATTCTTATTCCTGTTGTGTTACTAACATACACATTGCAAACATATGGATTACAGAGGAAACAGTAATTTAGTGAAATTCATTTATATAAAAGTAGTTAAATTTCAATTTCAATTTTTTTTATGTACCCTCTATGTACAACAAATATTTATGTGTCAGTTATTTGTCTTAGCATAAGAATACTATGAATAACTTTTGTATCTAAGTTAATTAAATGTAAATGCATATTAGAAACTATTTTTTCCACAAAAACCGCTTCACTTGAATATGTAAATTTTTCTGAAATTTTCAGAGCTTTTCCAAATTAATTTCATTGTATAGAAGTTGGATCAGATGCTATATTTCTCTTCTGTGATTTTTTGTGATTTTTTTTCTGTGATTTTTATTTTCAAATCATTTCACTAGGTTCTTGATATGGCCAAACTCATTCAACCCCATATGGAAGAGTCAAGAGAAGAAAACATTGCGCAAGTGCAAAGGGACGCAGTAGAAAAAGCTGTAACAGCAGTGAAAAATAGGCTGGAATTAGAAGAACAGTCACAAAAACCAGGTGAATAAGGTGTTCCGTGGTCTTTGAAGCTATCTTATTTGCTTTAGGTTATTTAACTGAAGAAATTGCTGTCAGTTTGACTTATAAAATATTACAGAAGTTGTTGTGGTTGTTGTGCATTAAATATGAACTAAAAGAACATGTAGTGAAGAGAATAGCTGAGTGGAATTCAGTATTTTTGATTTTATATATAAATACTCTGAAGTTGAGGGCCACGAGTATGCAAGAAAGTTTTCTGAGCTCTTTTTGAAAGAAGAAATTGATTCTGGCTGATACTGGTCAGAAACTTTCCATTTGAATGACTTTCTGACAAGTTAAATCTCTGCAAAATTAAAATTTTCTTCAAGAAAGAAGCTTGTCAGCTAGGCTGATGTGAACCTACAATCTACACATTTTCACCTTTGGAGCAGCCTTCCAAGTACGCTGTCACAGATGGCACGTTCTCAAGACTCTACAGATCTGGTCACATTTAGACTTCTTAAGCTGCAGCCTGATGAATCCAGAAAATATTTTGAAAAGGTGTAAATGGCATGTTCTTTTAATAGCTTTTAAACAAAATCTGAATTTTCTTTTTGTAAGGAATTTTGTGTAGTTTTTCTGAAATTATTTCTTTTGAGATTAAAATTTTCCATTGAATTGGAACTGTCTTTTCCAGTTAGCTCTAGTTATGGTTCAAATGGACAATGAGGCCATTTTGCCTTATTCAACTAAGCAAGGAATCACCGAATCTGACTTACTCATGGGTAGATACATTTCTAACACGAAGACAGTATATTCCCCTGGTGCTGCAAAACATAAAGGCTGACAGTGATACAAAACCCATTGGTGTTGCAGTAAGAATAACAGTGAACTGTGACACCAAAATTAAAACCATTAAACAGTGTTATGTTCCAAATTCCTGGCCGTGTAAATACTTTTGAGGACAGATATGTGAAATCATACTAAGATAAATAAGAACTTAATCTGAATTAATAACCTTGGAGAGCTCAAGCAATTTTATTGCAAAACAGAACTACAAACAGATGAAGGATGTAAATTGTCATAGAAAGTGAGAAAGCTTCAGAAGGGGAGATTAAATATTTTTGGAAGCTTGAATCTAGATCTAGAGGTAACTAGAATCACTCTTCTGATTCAAGCTGAAAAAGTAATACGTACACGCTCAGAGGGTCCCGGTCTGTTAATGTGCTCAGATGACATCCAGCTCAAACAGAATCACATTGTTCTATTCGGGGGGAAAAGATGGAGAGTATTAAATCTGATGAACTGAAGAAGTGTTCAGGACTTGTGTATTTTTTAACTATTTTCTGGCTTTTGTCATATTTCTGATCTCTTTTAAGGGGAGAAACAGGTATCTAAAACCTGGTACTGCTAGAGAGCCCTTTGTGTCTCACAGGCTGATGGGTAATAATAGTCTTGCCCTCACTAGGGCTGAAAAAGTGCTTGTGATTCCTAAGAGGAGGTGTGTTGGGGTATTACACAGCTTGGAAGGTAGCACATGAAGAGAATGCTGACATGTAGCTGGTTTAGTCAGATGGGGTTTCTGGTGAAGTATTTGTATAATAGGGTTTTCTACTGATCTAGTTTTCTGTTAATTTAATATGATTTCATAGCTATAGGAGACTTGCAAGAACATAGTAATGTCAAAAAAGCAGATGATTCTGAAGAAATCACTAAAATCAGAGAGGGAAAAAACTTGGAAGAGGGGACTGCTATAAAATCTGCCATCATCCAAAAAAGTAAAAAGTAAATCTTAGCTATTTTAAGCATGTTATTCCATGCCTTCAGTGTGTCTTGCAAATTAAAAAGCGAAAGATAATTTTTTTCCTTATTTACTCATTAATAGTAGGACTATTTTAAATTTTTTCCTTATTTCTGATACTGTCTTTTTGAGAAATCTAAAATGAAATGGTTAATTTTGTCATTGAAAGATATTAACTCATAATACCATGTTAATGTACAGGGGAAAAAAACTCCCACTGACCTTTGTAGGAGCTAAGCATATATTTTGATGAAAAGTTTGGTATTTTCACTTACATATCTTTTTATAACACAAGATTGTTTTAGAATTTTTAATAGATAAGGACAATAGGTGTTAATTCACACAGGCAAAAAAAAAGTGAAGAGAGTATCTGAATTCAGGACTGGGGGTTTTTGCCACTTGAATATAAGAAAAAGTATGCTAAGTTTTAATTAACCTGTGGAAATATACTTAAACAAATGAAATACATTTGTAAGCCTGACATGGTTTACAAATAGTAGTATTTTTTTTCATACAGAACAGACTAACATTTCACCTCAACCAAGGAAGAGAGATTATTAGGTAGATCAAATCAATGAACATTAATGAAATACAAGGATCTCAAATGGAAATTAAATAAATGTGGATTATGAGATACAAATTTCTTTGTCTTTTTAAAGAAAAACATTCATTTCTTCAATTACATTCTTCCTTTAATGTATGACATTCTACAGCAGCAAAAGATATTGAAGAGAGAACTAAAGAAAAATCTATTTCTTGAACTGGAGAAGTAGAGTGTAATATCTTTTTGCTATGATAACTGTAAAGTCAGTTTGGTTTTGGGTTTGAGTGGGGTTGAGGATTTTTTTTCAGAATGGAAACAGTATGATATTGTCCCTTTCCCAGGTAGCTTGTTACTTGGCAAAATAACCTGACAATGTGTAAATTTGTGTGTATAAAAAGTATCAAGACAATCAATGAAAAATCATGGCTTAATTACAGAAAATAAATTTGGCATTTTTTTCCAATAGTAGATATTGCAGTTGCTTAAAACAGTTCTTCACCAAATTTTATCAAATTAGTATCTAAACTGTGAACTAACTCTGAGTGTTCCTAAAAAAAAATAATTACAGTCCATTGTGTCATCAATTAATAACAAAATATAGATCCAATGTGAACTTTTTGTGCATCTTGGGGAATGCGGGCTTCTTGTTTGTTGACAATATACTGTCTTAATCTATGATTTGTATTGATTTTTAAATTAATCTGGTCAACCTTTTGATTTAGGAATCAAAGAGAAATCAGATCAAAGGAAATTCTCAGGTGCTGCAGGTGCCTGATTGTTCTAGTATACGAATGTCATTCCATTCATATTGAAACAGTATTTTACTTCGTGGTAGAAAATATTGTACAGTTAAAAAGGGATTTTTTGTAATGAGAGACCAAACCAAGATCTTAAAACTTATCTTTATGAAATACGCTCTAGAACTGCATTCAGAAGAACTGTTATTTGATTCTTTCTCAGTATGATTGTGTAATACTGCTCTTAAAATGACTGCTGCACTACAATTATGAAGTGGCTGGATTTAATTGCCTAGAAGTTATTCCTGACCAGAGGAAAGGAGTATTTGGGGATTTTGTGAAGCACTTTAAAAAATCTGTATTGTTAGGAATGTCAGAGATAACTGCTGACCACCCAGAAGTTCAAGCGATGGTAGAAGAAGCCATAAAAAGCGCATCAGTCTCCGAAGTTACACTGTCACCTGAAGTATATGCTGAAGTTCTGGAGAGAGCTATTGCAGAGGTAAAACTACAAGTACTATATAGCAGAGCACTTTTTTTCTAAGAGCAACCTGTAACAGTTTATACGTTATCAATATTATGTTCTTAACTTTTCCATTTGAAAGATCAGTTTAGTTTATGTCACATAGTCTGAAAGCTTACATATGACTGAGGAGAGACTGAGCAAGATCATGAAAGACAAACCTATCGAGCACTGCTATACATATATATATATATATATATACACACAAATGATTTCTGTCTTGCCAAGTACCTGGTACTTGCAAAGAACCTACCTACAAATTGTTAAAGGCTGGGAAAATTGTCTGAGGGAAGTATCACTGTGTGCTTGCCCTATTCTTATACTCTTAGTCACTAATAAACAGCTCCACGCTAGATACAAGTGTTTGAAAAGGATAATATATGAAGGTTTATCCAAGAATCTTGAATAGTTTTAAATTTGTTCACTGGTTTGTAACTATTGAAACTGGAATCTAAATACTTTATAGACAACCTTAAAAAAATCACTGGCACATTAATCTCTTTTTGTTTAAAATGTTTTTATTTCTTTCACACATATAAAGTTATAAATGTCTTACTTTTTATTGACATGAAATGCCATAAGGGAAAAATCATAACATTCAGAAAATAATTTTGTACTGTGTAATCTTTTTAAACAGCTCACAGACTTTCTTAGTCTTTTTATGTTACTGAACCTAATATTTTATAACAGCTTATGAAGAAGAATAAAGGCAGGTTTCCTGGTGCTCCAGAAAAAGGAGGATGGGTAGTGGATAATTACCCTCTGTCAGTAGATCACTGGTCAGCTTTATCAGAAAAAGGACTTTTACCTGACACTGTTGTCTGTCTGAAGGATACAGAAAAAGATGGTTAGTAAATGCACAGTAATGAAACGAAATATTTTCTTTTTTTTTTCCTGTGTTGATATCTGTATATAAAGCACACTTACAAGAAAAACTAATAGTTGCATTCCATTTATAAAGTTTCAAGGGTCTAGAGAAGGAAGAATCCAGTGAATCAACAAGGGTACCCCAAATTTCTTACAATTTTTTAAAGAGAATTACACAGAATTGAAAACAGGAATACTTTACAAAAGCATTAAAGAAAATTCCTCCTATTTATAATCCTATTTACAATTTCCTCCTATTTACAATCAGCAGTAAATACCACTGGACCCTTGCAGTTTCAGACTTTGTATTCTGTGTCTGGCTGGCCACCACCTTGTGATTACACAGTTTACTCAGAACAGATTTTTTATTAAAAAAAAAAAAAAAAAGGTTATCAGAAGCATGTCATCTGGTCAGTTAATCATCCTCACAACTCAGCTAGAGTGCCTAAACTACTTGGTCACATACTTTTGTGAAATTTTGTAACACCTTAAACATCTTAACTAAAAGTCTTCTAGTGGGGCTGGAGCTTGTATACAGACTAAATACAAACTGAACTTTTCTATGAGAAAGTTCCAGATCCAGTGTTTGTCAGAAAATCATATGTTCTGTTCCTGTCATTCAAGAAGCCCTCATCTCAGGTACTTCCAGAAAGAACTTAAGGACAAATTGCATTTCCATGCCTCATCTTTGCTTCTCAGACATTTCAAGCCTATTGAAGTGCTCATGATCCGCATTTCTGGGACACAGTGTGTTGTCCTTTCTTACAGCCACAAAAAGCACCTTATTCATGTAGTTGGCATGCAGTAATGAAATGTTAATACAGTGTACTAAATAACAAACAGCAGGAGTCAAGCTCTAGCCTTTTCTGCAGGGAGAGGTCTGAGGTAGGAGAGATGCTTTCAGAAGTATATTAACTTCCTCTTCACTTCTCAGAATTTAACAAATTAATGAATTAATTGGATAAAAGAAAAGTTGTCTCATCATCCCTGAAAGGCATTATTCTAGATCAGACACATGGGAGTAGATAGGTCTTCATGGGAACCATGTTGAAAACCATGGTCAATAGCTTTTTTTTGGGAAGGGAAGAACTTGGGAGTGGCTTTCAAATGAAGACCTCTCTAGGGCTTTTGAATTATTTGCATCCTTCCTGCAATGTACACGTCTGCCATTCCCACTCGTTCTCACAACCTAGCTCTCAATTACTTGTTTTAATCTGAACAATCTATTTTATACTCTTGGTAGCCATCTCTTCCACACAGTCATCTTCTGTTTGTCTAGTCTGATAGATGGTGGATTCTTTAAAACATAAGTGTAAGCCTTTCCTAGAAGTTAGAGAGGTCCTTCATGAAACTTAAATTTGTGCTTATAACCCTGATGGTACCACTGTTTGAACTAACACTGTTATAGTCTTATATCACATAGCAAAAAAGACTGCTTTCTTAATTACAAGCCATTTGCCCCTATGTATAAGTCGATTTCAGGCTTGGAAGGAAAGCCACCATTCCCATTTTTTATGTATTTGAGATGATAATGAGTCACAATTTATTTTTCTTCAAAGTTTCTTTCATGGGTGGGAGGAAGTGAATTAACACACTTTAAATGATAAAACATATATTTTTACTCAGCTTGAAACAAGTCTCAGCTTGAAACAAGTTGTGCAAATTGGATACAAGTAATGCTATTTGTAGCCTATCATAACAAATGGAAGTGAAATATAATACTGGCATAGAGATTTTCTTAACAGACTTCTAGTTGCGTTAAAACAGGACATTGCAAGAACGTTGCTCTTTCAAACAGAATCAGCTGAGCTGCCTACAAACCTGCTCTATTAGCAAGCTAGCTTATTTCTGGTTAATACCAGTAACAGATATTCTCAGGTCAGCCACTTAGGACTTTGTTAATTTATTATCCATTATTCTAATGGCTTATAGGTCACTTGCTCAATTTGATCAAGTAAAATCCTTTATCAGATGAAACAATATTGAATTGTTTGAGTGAGAAACACATGCTGGTACCCAAGGAAGAAAGAATGGTTAGTTATAATATAGTAATTATGATTCTTCAGGATGTTCTGCATATGATAATTCTGTAACTAAAGGTGCTTCACTTCAATGTCATTTGGACTCTGAATAATGAAGTAAATTAATAGTCTTTGGCATCTCTGCTTTCATAATACTGTGAGAAAACACAAAGATGGGAAAGTGCATGCCTGGGGCACCAGGCAAAGCCACTGAAAACTCTCACAACCTTTTTGCAGAAGAATACCAAGACAGAATTATCTAAAGATGAGTTTACAAACCACATTTTAAAAAAAAAAAATCCCTTCACTCACCCTTCCTTTTTCAAAAATACATTTAATTGAAGGTATTGGTTTAAGATATAAACTGTTGACACAAAATTATCATCTGCTTCAAATCAACACCAATGTTCCTAATAGTTAAGTAACATGTTTCTCACAGTTCAAATTTAGATAGAAATGCATTTTGTGTTAGTTGATGATAGTGATCACGTGACATATGGGAGGAATAGGTATGAGTAAAGTGAGGTGAAAGAGAAGAACATCTGCTATAGGGTTTGGCTAAAAGTGCAGCTTTTTGCTTATGGATATGTTTCCTTGAATTTGCTATTTTGTTTCATTTTGTCCTTTTATTTTTTTTTCATTTGGTTGGTTGTGTTATCTCTATTTGATTCCCACTAATTTCTGTCACTTAAATAATAATGTAGCTGTGGCGTTTACATTTTCACAGCATTTTGAGTCATTACTTTGTAAGCTATTCCCTGAACTAGTTTAAACTGGCATAACTCCACTGATGGAAATGGATTTCAGCCACACAGCCATATATCATAAATCTCTTTCCCAAAGTAAGTCAGTCAGTAGAGTTCCTAGTAGGAACAGCACATTCTTCATTTCTGTCAACCAGCTGTCGTAGTATAGGTATGTACATTCTTTACATTTTTATTTGAATGTTTTTCATTTGTTTCTTCATTGTTTTCTTCATACACATACAAACAAAATAAATGCCAGAGTAATGCATGATATATGGAAATGCAAGATAAATCCCTTCAGTGCTGTCTCCCCTTATAGCCTTCATCATAACCTTCCCATATCCCAGAGTCGGTTTATTAGGTTCTTGAAATTGGAAACAAAGCTCTAAAACCTTAGAAAGCAACTGTATAATAACATTTCAGTGGTATATGTGCCTTTTCTTGGCTATAAAAAGGAGAAAAATTGTCTATAATTTTCCGAACTCAAATAATTTCAGTTTTATACAGATGCATAAAACTCATTACTGTTGTGTAATTATACTGCAGGAGTCTGTATACTACGCAGAACATACTTAGCAAATAGAGATGAAATTAATGCTAAGATTTTGAAAAGACTAACAGAAGAAGCATTACAAAAGAAAGAAGAAGAAGAAGAAGCAAGGTAAAATATTCCAAATATCTGAACACATAAAATGAACACAAGAACATTCTAACCTTACTCTGTGTTAAAGGTATCAGTGCATTTATCAACACAAATGCACTAAAACAGTATACTGAGACTAGTTTTGATAGATAGGAAATAATCCAATATGTTAGCTTTGAGGAATATCTCATTTAGATCAGTAAATATGATGACAGAAGATTCTCTTGCTAAATGCATTTTCATTAGTCTTTCACTAGTCCAGTCTTTTGATACAAGACAGTAACATTTTGTATGATAAAATATATTTTATTTTTATTTTGTACAATCCAAATCATATTTCAATTTCCAACAGTATATTTCCACATCTTTACTTTACATTTAATATATCTGCAGCTTGCTTCAGTAGTATTTATGTGTCTTAAGATGAATAATCTTTTACTTACAGAAGCGAAATGCAAGAAATACTGACATCAGAGGAAGATCAATCTCTAGAGGCTGCTGAGGAGACAGGTGAAAGTGTGTATCATTTGACTTCTGTTTTATCTAATTTTGTGTTTCAAAAAATTTAGCAATTTGGGTTTTATACAGATTTTACAGTTTTGATTTCCTTTTTACATTCAGCATCTAGAAAAATTACTTTATGTTACTATCTTTGCTTCCTTCACTGATTCAGGCACTCATTTCTATGTGTCATTCTTAATGGATGTTACAGAATACAGATATATTACATCAGCCAGCACAGTTACGGATCCAAAGGACAGGACTCTCTATCTTCTCTAGTAACCTTTCTAAGTGGATTATTAACTGTATTGAAACTTCCTACTCATCAAAAAACCTGTATCCCCTCACAAGTTAGAAAACAGTTGCAGCTTAGCATTATTATTAGATTAGCCTTATTCTTGTTACAGCCTATAAGAAAATGGCAAAACTGATTTTCTGTTCTTCCTCCAAGAAGCTCAGCCTGAAGCAATTAAAGGGGAATGGAAATTATTTCAGGAGTGGCTCTCTTAACATACATAAAGAATTACTGAATCTGGTAGCAACATGCATTATGAATTGCTGAATCCAGTAGCCCAGTGGTAGAGGTGAGGCTGCTGCAGATCCATGTCCCCAGGACCATGCAGTAATGAGTCTGAGCATGTATTCCCATTTCCCCTTTTATCTTTTTCTTACTCTGTTATTTGTGCTTACTCAATTCTTTCCTCCCCAATTCACTTTGATCCCTCCTTCTCCTTGCCTTTGGTCCTTCTCAGAAATGCCTTATAATATTGTAAGTCTCTCGCAATCCCAAACTGCTTTTCCTGGCATCACCTAATGAATCTTATACCCTATAGGCAGTAATTCTCCTCAGCCAGGGAGAGCCTCTCTGGTTGACTCATCTCAGTAGATCTCACACCCAGACAATGCCTTCATCATCCTCTTTTAATGACCCTGAGGGGAGCCAATCAAGGTTATGTTTCTTCTGATTAGGTTATTGGGGTTCCCCCACCTGTCATTGTTCCTCCTCTGCTTTGTGCTTATGGAGATTAGCCTTTAATAACGTAACCTAACAAAGTAAAAAATAATGGAATTATGTGTATTACATGAGGTTTCCCCTCTAATGACAATATTAATAAAACATTTTAAGTAAAGACTTTCTTACTTTGCTTTTTTCTGTATTGACAGAATCACGTGTTATTTCTGTTTAGTCACTCTTTATTTCCTGTAAAGATTCAACTTTTATATCAGAGTTGTGCTATGCTTTGTTTCCAGAAATGAAAATCTAATTGTCCTGGACAGGAGTGAATAATCTGTGAGGAGTGAGATTTTGGAGGCAGGCCAACTGTCACAAATAGGCTGGATTTTTATGCCTCAGACAATTCTGTCAGTTGGGTTGAGGTTTAGAATTAATTTCAGCGAGTTTCAATGTTTTGAACCTCAACAGTCAAAAAAGTGGCAGGGTTGTCCTTCCTTTTTGCCTTCTTTAATCACTGCCAACTTCCTTGAAGAATGCTGCTGTCTGATTCGGATCTGCTGTCAGGATTAAGTACCATGCATGAGTATCTGTCTCTACATTAAGAACTAGGTTGGAGACTTCAGAGTATTTTCTTTCTCTGCTATGGGATCTCAAGGTTTCTCCATCATGGCCTAAATTATCACCTGAGGCCTGGGGTGAAACTAAAAATTGAAGCGCATGAATTCCCACTTTTTTTTTTTTTTCCTCAGCAGTGGGGGCCTGGACTGCCATTATGGTCTTCCTGTCAAACATAACATACTGGTTTCTGTAGAAAAATACTATGGCCAAGCTGAAGTTCTGTATTGTCAGTATGTCTCACATACACTTTCTTTTATTATCCAGTCCAGCATTTATTTTACCTATATATAACAAGGCCTAAATTGTAATGGTAGCATGAGATAGACTGAATATGATAATATGCTTTTAATTTTTAATTAGGTAACATTTCACCTACTCTCTGAAAAAAATACTTGAGCTTTGCAGGGTTCTTTAAATTACATAGGAACTTAAAAAATTTCCGCATTGTAACTTTTTATAGTTTCTAATAAAACACGTAGCTCTTCTCCAAAGTGAAGATGAGGAACTCCTGAAGAGAGTCAGAGGAGGGCAACAAAGATTATTAGGGGACTGGAGCATCTCCCCTATGAGGAAAGGCTGAGAGAGCTGGGCTTGTTTAGCCTGAAGAAGACTGAGAGGGGATCTCAAAAATACTTACAAATAGCTTAAGGGTGGATGCCACGAGTACAGAGCCAGACTCTTCTCAGTGGTGCCCAGCAACAGGACAAGGGGCAATGGGCACAAAGTGAAGCACAAGAAGTTTCAGTTAAATGTGAGGAACAACTTGTTTACTTTGAGGGTGACAGAGCACTGGCACAGGCTGCCCAGGGGCGTTGTGGAGTCTCCTTCTCTGGAGATATTCAAAGCCCACCTGGATGATGTCCTGTGCAACCTGCTCAAGGTGAACCTACCTTAGCAGGAGGGTGGGACTAGATGGTCTCCCTAGGTCCCTTCCAACCGTTGCCATTCTGTGATTCTGTGAATGAGTTCCAAAGTATTAAATACAAAGGGTTCTACACAGACACTATTATCTCTGTCTCAAACAACAAAGTCCATCTTAGTTTTGAATATCTAACTCATTTTGCTCTGACTACATCAAAACAACAATTACTGATAGAAGTAATAATGTCATATACACACTTGTGCTCTTAACACGTGATAAGTCCTTGTTCAGAGAAAATAATGTTTTCCTACGCCTACATTTGCTTTCAATAATCAAATACTGACTCACCAAAACACTTAGCCTGACATCTGCCATCAGCACATTGACTGCAGCTTTTCTCCCATGTGACATGTCTTTTCAAAAATATAAATGAATGATATGTTCACAGTTTGGGGTATTTTTATATAGCAGCTATGGTATAAAAATGAGAACCCAGAAAAATAATCCAGAGCCCCAGTCATGCTTTTTTGATGTCTCTCATATCATATCAAATGGGAATGGCTCAAAGCTGCACCAGGGGAAGTTTAGACTGGACATTAGGAAGCATTTCTTTACTGAGAGGGTGGTCAAACCCTGGAACAGGCTTCCTAGAGAGGTGGTTGATGCCCCAGGCCTGTTACTGTTTAAGAGGCATTTGGACAATGCCTTTAATAACATGCTTTGACTTTTGCTCAGCCCTGAATTGGTCAGGCAGTTGGACTAGATGATCGTTGTAGGTCCCTTCCCACTGAAATAATCCTATTCTATTCTATATAAATAAATGTGCATTTCAATAATTGCAATTTTTGTAACCTCAGTGGGACATTGAAGTAACTGGGATTGCTTCAGTGCTGAACATACTCAAATTTATAATATCATTTGTGTTTCAAAGGAAAAAATGATTCCAGTAATGAGCAAGGTATTCACATGTGTCTTAATGAGAGTGAAAGTAAATGGTGAAAGAGACTGCGTAAATTTAATTAACGTATTTAAGTGAGTTCAGAAGCTAAGTTCAATGCTGAAAATGTCTGTTGAAGGTACACAAAACAATTTATGTGGTAACACTTGCTTATAATGTCTAGCTGAAAATTATAGCCCCACATCTTTTTTCATATACTGAGCTTAAATTATTTTCAGGAATTGCTTACTGTATTTAAGCATTTTTGCAGCAGCTTCGCATGAGTATGGATTTATTTATACTAGGAAACAACTATATGACTTCATGAGAATGTATTTCAGGCATTGTAGAAGAGTTACATAGCTTTAGGTAGATCTGTGGGTTCTTTCCAATCTTCCTGAAGTAAAGCCTGGCATATTTCTTTCCTGCCATGTTTCAGCAGTAAAATATCCCATACAATTGATCTTATCCACTGAAGTAAACAGTTGTCATGGTTTGAGACTTTATTTTCTGTACTTTGTCAGTCTTGTTTTTCTGCCAGAGATTACCTCCTTCCTATAGCAAACTCAGCTGGAGCACATGTATGCCTATACCTCAGTCACCGTAGCTCAGGGCAGTGTGTTAGTACAATCCCATCTTCACTGGTGCCGTTAATACTTGTTACAAACTCTTTAATATTGATCCTAATGCCCTCTTTCTCATCTTACAGATGGTGGAGGGTGTAATCAATACCCATCTCTTTAGCTTTTATGTTCTTGCTTTTTTATTTTTATTATCATGTTAAATTCAGTAAGATATTTTAAACAAAAAATAAATATAATAATAATTCAACCTGTACATGTTAGGTCATTTCCTCTTTAGTCTTTGAAGAGAAATGCTTTTTGGAATCAATTGTAATTATAACATTTACCAGGCAGTTGATATGTGCTCAGTCCTACAGCCTCTAAATATATTTCCTTTGTTTTTCTTGGCTGGCTTGCATCCTGATTTGGTTTTTTTCTACCTCTAACAAGAGGCTTTTCAGTGAGGGTTTGAACAAGGACAGTTTATTAATCTGCAGACAAGGGGTAGCAAATTACTTGCACCACAAACTTGAAAGCAAGCTGTAGTGATGTTAACTTCACAGTTTGTTCAGTCTTTGAGCAGAGTTGCATGATCTTCAGAGCCACTTTCTGCCCTCCTTCATAAGCCAGATATGATAATTACATTCTAAAACCTGTAATCACAGCATTTTAGGCAGTGAAATTTCAAAATTTGTAACAGAAATTTATGAACAACAATCAATTAGATCCCAAATACCTTCAGTTCTTAAATTCTTTTAGTCTCTCATTCAGAGAAATAAAGGCTAAGGGATATTGATTTAGTACACCTATGCATTCCTGTGCAGAAAAAAAGAAGAAAAGCCTATGACTAGTGCTTTCAGCCTCTCTGAAAGCTCTTGTCATTTTCTGAACATCTGTAAGAAAAAGGACATCTTCTTTACTTTGTTTAATGTCTGTCCATCTGTCTTCCTTGACCCTATCCAGCACCAGTCTTGTAAATGAAATCTTTTAAGTGTATAGACATACTGTAAAAATTTAGACATGCTTAGCTTCTGTGCCACAGCTATTTCCATTGAAGTCTCTAGGACTGTCTGTGATTAAGTTATGTATATGTGTGAGAATTTGCATGTTGACAGCCTTAACAAAGTCTCTTCCATTTTGCACATATTTTTCTGCATGTCATTTTCCTCTTTGTGTATATTATGGACTCTTGATTTATTTATTACAGAGCATCAAAACTCATTTTGCTTGACTGCATTCCTGTACATATCAAAAGGAAATAAAGAACTAGAATAAGTGAAGAATTTTCTCAATTTGACACATACTAGAGGTTGTGGGTTTTTTATCTGCTAACCATATAAGAGGAAGATGCTTGTTTACGAGATAAAGTTTCCTGATTCTGCATAAATCAGAAATTCAATGTTTCCAACCTGTTTTTCATGATGTTTATGGTTTCTTTGCCAAAACAGAGGTGTACATGAAAACAAATGCCATAATTTCAGATTTTACAATACATTCTTGTTTAATATGATTTGAGCTTTGGGTAATCATAACATGTTGAGATGTACTACTGGTGTTTTATTATTCTAACAATGGTCTAAGGACATAAACAAAACAAGGCTTGTAGGAAAAAGTAATATTCTTTATTGACCAACTGATACAGTTGGAAAAATTATACCAGCATTCAGGCGCACAAGCCCTTCTTCAAGTCAGAAGAAAATCCACCCAATAGGAGCTGTTCTGTAGAAAACCAAATGTGCTTTTTTTGCAAGGTCTTGTTTTTGAGCATACAATATAATGAATAAAAAAATATTCTTATATAAAAGCACTGAGTTAAACAAAGTATTTCTCCACTTCATTCCCAGTCATGTGGCATCTGACAGATGGTCTGCCTTTCCCCACAGATCAGGTAGCTGATCTTAAAATGTTTTGTCAGTGTGCAATACCTGAGCATTCAAGTAACTAACTACTTTTTTTGCAGGTGATCAAATCAAGTTTCAACATGTGATCCAAAAATACATTTCTATAGTGCCTCCATCACCTTTCTATGGGTTTGTTAAAGTTAGTTGCTAATTATTTTATTTGTGCCAACAGAATTTGAGGACACTGATGACCAGTTTCCACCTGAAACTGAACAAATGCCCCAGAAACAGTCCAGTGACTCTGCAGGTTATAAAGAAGAAACTAAACCTACAGGTTAGCCTTGTAGCACATACAATCTCTCTTACTTGCAGGTATCAAGAATTGCATGCCTTCCGTTACTGCAAGCTTTTACTATGGGTTGTAAATATCATTCCTTACCTTAACTTTTTTCTTTTAAAGAAGCTTATACTGGAATAGTCAGGTTCAAGTTATTTAAACACTTATATATGCAATTAAAGGCATGTTATTTTCTGTTTAAAATGATGTACCAGGTATTTGCACTTTGAGAAACAACAAAATCCCACTATTGTCTCTAGTACCTAAATACCAAATCAATAAATGTGTACAGGGATCTGTGGAAATAATAAATAAAGTGAGCATTGCTGAAATTCCAGATTGACATAACCTCTTATACTCAGAAATCCATGACCAGTCTCTACAGGATGAAGTGATAAGGGAGGGAAATCAGAGGAAAAAACTTTAGAAAGTCACTCTCATGGATTCTGACACACACCTCCACCACCCACCCACCCCCAAAAAAAAAGTAGAAAGAAAAAAGTACCAGGAAAAAGGGGGGGGGAGGGGGGCGGTAAACCCAGGAAATAATCAAATTGCAGTATTCACAAACACCTGCATGTGATTTTAACAAACACCAATTCTATAGATGATTTTAAAATTAATACTATATCCACATTAATCAGAAATTACTAGTCCATTCCCTGTGGCAAGGGATCTTGGGAAAAATGGGAATGGAAAAATTTTACCTTTGGATGTGAATGATCAAAATATGTCCTGTATTTTCCTTAGTCATCCATTGCCCTGCTAGCAGCTTGCTAGATTTCACACAGAGTCATATTTTCTTCTTTCTGGTAGAAGGTGAAATTCTGCAGCACGTGGAGCTCCATAGAACCATATGCTAATGAAAAGCTATACGAAATCCTATAGTAGCCCTCTCTCAAAAAACTCTTGTGAAGGCAACTCATCTTTAATGGAGATGGTCTGCTTTAGTTTTTAAAATATACATTTTAACTTCTATCTACTAGAATTTTTAGAATATGTTAAAGTCCAAAAGAGAAATAAATCAAACATAAAACATTTTATTTTAAATAGCAAGTTGTTAAATATACACATTTTTATGCATTAGAAAGAATCAACTTAATCTGTAAACCGAACTGTTTTTCTTCTAAACACCATAAATCAGTACATGCAATATAAGTTCACCTACTAAATACATTCCACTGTAATATGCTGAAAGTTATTTGGCAGCATATGCTTATAAGTAAGTAATGAAAACTCTGTATAAACAAACTACATGGTCTGTTTCAAAAAGACAAATGAAAATACGTTCATAATGAAATACATATCAGTTCCAAGGAATGGAAGTGTCACTGTTATCCTACATTTTGCCTTTCTGTTTATTTTGATAGTTAAACACTAATGACGAAGACATGCTGGCTTCACTTGTCTTTGTCTCAGCTTTGGCAGGGTTTGAGAGGGGAGGAAAGAAGAATTTTTTCATCTTTTTTGTTGCTGAATATGGACTGAGGGCAGAACAAGTCATATCTAATACTAGCAGAACACTGAAAAAAAAAAGGTATTAAAGCCTTTTCTTCCCCAGCAACTCACTTGGAGAACATGGGGGGCAGAAAGCCTTTGAGGATTGTTTGTCTCTATGGTTACTCTGCTCAGTAAAAGCAGAGAAGACACAGAGCAAAAGAATATGAGATTGCCATATAGGCATTCCCTTGTGAAAGCTCCAGATTTAGGACTGGGGAGGATTGTTTTCTATCACCTCTGTGAGAAGGAAAAGAAATTAAGAACAGCACTGTTAAGACAGACTGCCACTGCCTCTGAAGGAAACTTGTTTGCATTTTTTAGATCCATTTATTTTTAAACCGTTACTGTCTTTTCAAGTATTTTTCTTGACTATGTTTCTTATTTCTTTAAAAATATCTTCTCGCTGTAAATCACTTCTGCAGGTGGAATTATTATAGCTTATACCTAACAGCAAAGGTACTTACTACTAATTTAAAAGTAGTTTCAGTATTTTCAATCCCTACGACCCAGTTTGAAACAAACCAAATGCCAGGGAGGCAACATTTTTGTCATAATAATGTTCAAATACCTGAACCAAAACCAAATAATGTTTAGGTTGTCCAGTTTTTGGGTTGTCCCTTTTTCCTAGGAGTGTAATCCTCTTTTCTTTTGCTACTTTTCCCCTCTTTCCAGGGGAAAGTTTCTCTAGTTCACTTAGGTCTCTGTAATCTATTTTAAAACTCTGTAAGTACGCAATAATTGCTGCTGGATAAGTTTCGTTAGGCAAGAAAACTCTCAGATAGAGGTAAGCTGATAGAATTATGTGTCTAGAGTAGAGAATCAAAACTGGAACACATGCTGGACCATCATTTGCTAAATACAGCCTGTCAGGAGAGGTGTAACATGAATTGTGTTTGTGAGATTAAGGTTCATATGGGAAGCACTCTTTTGAGTGGATTTGTTAACATGTTCAATATTCTGTCTTGGATGACGTCAGATATTCATTTAAATCCATTATTCTGCCTGTATATTTCCAAAGTTTCACAACCTACTCAGAACTGAGAGGGTTTTAAAGGGCAGGACTATAAAAGACGATCTGTTGAAGGCTAGATCCAGACAGCCCGCATGACCACCTTCCATACGTTATTGCTTTGAATAGTGCTGTGGTTCACAAGGCAGCACATGTGATTTCTACAGTGTGAATGTGCCAGGGATAACACGTGCAAAAAGCAGTTAGTGTAACCTAGTTATTAATGTATCCTTTGCTTATTTTCTTAAAATCTGTGTTCCTAATGGAATCATCATTACATAATGCATTAGTGCTGCCCAGATTTAAGCAGGTTTTACCTGACTACATCTCTGTCTCATTTGGAATACATCACTGCAGAATGCAACATAATTAATTGTGACATTTACACAACATATTTAGTGTACATAAAAAGGAAGGTATTTTCATGTTCCTATTTAGGATCATGGCAAGAGACAGAAATGTCATTGCAGGGGGTAACTAGTGTAATAATGTATATAGAATGCATGTGTAGTCTAGTAAAATGCAAATGTTTATAAACATTTTCTAGAAAAAGAGGATCTCTAATTCAAGATTTGACTATTTGGAATCTACAAGGTGTTTCTGCTTAACGATATGCCATTTTGCACTTCCAGTTTATGTTTGGACTAATTATCATTCCAACAGAGGGAAGGTTAGCCACTCAGGTGTCAGTCTAATAGTTGTGTTATTCAAAGCTGTAAAAAGAAGAGGGGGAATGCATTAAATATTCTTTGTTATACAAGATCACAGAAGTCCTTGCCAAAAGGCTTATTTGTTAACCTTTTATTTAAAAATGGCTCATTTAAAATAAAGTTTTGCAGTTCATCTTGGGGACGGCATGTCAGGACGCTGTGAGGGTCAACTGGTCCCAAAGGAACAGGGAGCTGGGAGCAGAGTGTGGTAACGTGGCGATCAGGACAGGGCCTGGCAGCCAGACCCAGTCCCACCACCCCAGCCAGGAGCAGGGTAGCTCTCAGGGCATTGGGCACCTCCCTGGGGACAGGGGTGAGCTGAGGCTGGGCTGGGTTGACAGCCCATGGGTGGGCCCAGCTCGGCAGAGCCCATGGCCGTCCAGGGCTGTGGGGAGGTGGGGACTGGCCCTGCTCCATCATTGCTGGGGCAGGGGCTAATGGCTCTGGGGGCTGATATGGGGTCCTGGGCTGTGGGCACATGGAGGGAGCCCCAGGGGCCTGGGCAGGGAGAGCCAGGCCTGGGGGTGCCCTCAGGTCCCTGAGCCAGCCTATGAATTGCTATAGGGGGCCTGATTTATTTCAAATATCAGCTTATCATATATAAGGTAGAGGTAAATGGGGGTTGTCGTGGTTTAACCCGGCTGGCAACTAAGCATCATGCAGCCGCTCGCTCACTCCCCCTCCCTCAGTGGGATGGGGGAGAGAATTGGGAAGGAAAAAAAGGTTAGAGCCGTGGGCTGAGATAGAGACAGTTTAATATGAGAAAATAATAATAATAGTAATAATGCGAATGATAAGAGAATATACAGAATATACAAAATGAATGATGCACCACGCAATTGCTCACCACCCGCTGATCGATGCCCAGCCCGTCCCGAGCTGCGATCACTCCCCGAGCCGTGATCACTCTCCCCGCAACCGACCAACCGACTAACCAACTCCCCCCGAGCATGACGTTCTATGGTATGGAATAGCTCTTTGGTCAGTTTGGGTCAGCTGTCCTAGCTGTGCTGTACTCCCAGCTTGTCATGCACCTGGCCGAGCAGGAGAAGCTCAAAAAGTCCTTGAGTAGTCTGAGCACTACTTGGCAACAACTAAAAACATCAGTGTGTTATCAACATTATTCTAGTACTAAATCCAAACCACAGCACTATGCCAGCTACTATGAAGAAAATTAACTCTATCCCAGCTGAAACCAGGACAGGGGTATTGAAAGAATGAAAGTTTCAGCCTCATAAGTGGAAGAATAAAACTCTTAAAAGCACCTAAATATGTAGAAATTTACTATATTTCTAGAGGACTACACATTAAGACCCATAGCCATAAGGAGATGTAGACATTGTAGTGCCCCAAACCACCATGCTAACCTTTAAGTGCCTGGCTGCATATACAGAATGAAGGGTTGAAGAAATAAGCACAAGTAGCAAACTAGCAAGGGGCCAACCTTAGTGCGCCATGAAGGAATGTCAAAAGGAGGCATGTATTTGAAACCCTGCATCTTTTTAAAGTTGGCCCATGACGAAAAGGATGGGAGTCCTTAACTCTAGCTTTTTGGCAATTAACTCACTGGAGGCAGAGCACTGGCTTGCTTTCTTCTAGAAGACAGTACTGGCACTGATCTTTGATATAATCGCTTCATAGGTAGTTTAGCCATCCAAGTCTGAAACATTTGTTAGATAAAATTTGTTAGCACCTTGTCCTGCAGGCACTCAGATATCCCAGCTGCTATTGACACTTCCAGGTGATGCTTTAGTTGGTAGCATGTTAGACAAAAGTTAGGCAGCATCTGTACTCTGACCATTATGTTTAATGTTTCCTGTTTCCTGCCGAATCTTACTGGTACTTAATCACTGTAATCCATCTAGATTGTACTTAGTAATAGCATTTTTTGATCTGGCTCTATTTTTGAAAATTAAATGTGGCATTTGTGGATTTCTTCATCAATCCATAAGAGAAGATTGAGAGACATTCAGTTCTGGGAGGAAATACTAGTTTTCTTAAAGAAGAAAATTGTGACAGTGCAATCTAACTCGTCACGAGCCAGAAAAATGTTTTGGATTTTTCAGGTTGGGGCAAACTCAGAATGAATGTTACAGTACAATTTCACATAGTGAGCATTGGCCTGCTTAATGCCATAAAACACTGTGTTTTTAATGTTTTTGGCTTTTGTATTTTTAGGAAAATGGTCACAGCTTTCAACATACAAGGCATTACATAAGGCTTTCATTTTTAGTAATACCTGTCCTTTTTATGTGTAGGAAGTTATATAAGGAAAAATAGTAGTAATGGTCCTTTTTTTTTTTAAAATCAGTGAAAGTTCATTGGAATAGACTGAACCTGTTGTTGCTTGTGTCAAAATCTGTTCCTGCTCTTTCAAAATCAAAACAAGGCAGAAACAAAAAGAGGAGGGGAAAATTATAGCAAGGTAGAAAATCACTCCATCCGCTGTTCATGCTCTTTCTTGCAGCTTCATTTCTGGCAAAAGACAAACACAGCATATACTGTAAGTCCTAGCAAACTTACAGTAATATCAGACCATTTAAGTCATTGCTCTCAACTGCTTTTCTGTCTGTTAGCTGAAGGTGCCGATATCAGACTTTAATTGAACAGAACAAAAGAAAAATGATAAGAAAAAGAAGAAAATCAGGGTTAAAATTATATGAGTGCAGGGAATGGGAATAGCAGCAACACCACCACATTGCTGCTGCTGGAGACTGTTCATGATTTAGTAAGGACAAGGTGGTGATGGTGTCATCTAGGCACCTCTGTATCTTCTTCTAGCTGAGATAGAACTTTATCTCAGGACTTTCAGGGCCTAATAATGTCTAAATGGATACTAATAACAGTTGGACTTGATCTTAAAGGTCTTTTCCAACCTATTCTATGATTATAATTGCAGCCCTAGGAACCAATGAGTATCTTTATCCTTTTCTGTTACTGTGTCAATATCAAGTTTTAAATTCAGTATCTGCTGTCTATATCAAGTCTTTAATTCCCTCTGGCTTTTTCAGCAAAATGGATGGCAGTGGAAGCAGTCATCCCTTTGTTATTTTGCTCACCAAGAAGGACAACATATTTGGTATGGTTTCATCATATTTACCATGAGAAGTACCTGTGAATTTCTTATTTATATTAATGCATTCTAACTCATCTCTAACTTTTGTTTACTTTTCATGAGACAGTATTAGGAGACAGACTTGGAATTCTCTGATCTTAAACAATTGACACTACAAATTTCTGCATGGTGTATCTTAAGACATTAAAGTCTTTTCTTTCCCTTACTCATTAAATGAGTTATTGTATGCGGACATGGCTTCATTAAAGCCAAAATTTTTGTGAGAGTTTCTCAGCACAAGTATCCACACAGGGAAGCCATGATTTAATTTTTATTTTTCATTTATTTATTCATTCATATTTGTATTACAGTTATTATCATCATTTATATGCTCCTTATCCTAGGGTGTATTGACTGGCAGATGCAGTTTACATTCACAGACCTTTTCTTTGTATAACTGTGTGACTTCTAGCCTCCAGAGAAATGGGTTACACTTCTGCATCTTGTTGTTGGTACTTCTTAGAATTACTTCATGCATACATGCATCTGTATTGCTTCGTATCACCAGTATTTGTGTTCTACAGCTCATAGGTATAACATGCCTTTGTCTGCAAAAGGAAGTGTATTCTTAAGATCCCTAGAAGCGTATAGCTGAGAAAGTGCAGAGGGAACAGCACACAAAGTCAGGCTCCAAAAACGCGGTAAACCTAGGCTGCTGCTACTCGCAGGGGCTTTGCCAATAGTGTAAGAGAAGCTGTTCCTGAGAATACTGTGAATAACACAGTGACTTTCAAGCACGATGCGACTCCTGTGGTTTTTGGGAGGACCTTCATCCTTCAACACCTGCATGCTCTCCCTACACTCAGTAGGATAAATAGAGGCGATATCCAGTTCTTCCAGGACAATGTGTTATCACGGTAATTTTAGCATGCTGGTCCATTTCACTGGGAAGAGCTAAAACGTCCCAGCAGATAACTTATTCTAAATGGGAATACTTAGTATTTGAAAACAACTTTTAAGATTGAAGAAGTACAAACAGATGTTTCAAGTATTATTTTATTTGGAGTTTTTAAAGTTATCAATGAGGAGAAAAATCACTTTTATTTTAAATTGGCACTAATTCTTTTATGATACTCAGTACTTTTTAATGCAAATATAGCGCATAATTGATGCCATTATCTGCTGTAAACTTTAATTTTTCATTACACACGTATGACCAGATTGTCTCTGAATACGTAACAGATAACCTCTTCATTAATTTCTGTACATTTATAACAATGCACAACTGGAAAGATGCATTCATAACTCTTAAGAGGCCTGGTTTAATGGTTAAATCACACAAATGAGGCTTGAAAGTCAGAAGAAATTAATTCCTTCTTTCAATTCTGTTGCAGACATGGTTGTGAAGTGGAAGTATTCCAGTTCTCTGAACAAATAGATCTAAATTTCAAGCTGTTTAACACCCACAGTTTCTGTTTCATATAATCGGCAAAAGTGTGTTCAGCATCTCTGCAAAGATTAAACATTAGGTATCCAGGAATCAAGACATTCCCATTACAGATCACTTTTAAAAGGTGGATCATAATCTCTGTGTACCTGTCTTGCCTCATTTGTTAGTTATGGTTAGAGGCATCACTTGTAATTTGTTTAAGAACTCTTACATTACTCTTACATTGCCTGATTTACTATTTTAGCTCCCTGCTTTGCCTTTATCAATTTAGGAGTTCAGTCTTTGATACCATCCCTCATATCCTTGATATTTACACTGAAGTGGACTTCTCTCTTTAGTCCCTTCTTTTTCCTTTCTCCCCTAAATCTTCTATTTTCTCTGCAATTTTGTCATGTTGATATTTATATAGCTGCGTGCCTTTGTTTGAGTAAATGAAGGCTTAATTTATTAACATCTGTATATTGAGATCTTATGCCAAAGACAAAAACCACCTAGTAGTATGCATAGTATTTCTATGCATGTAAAGAGAACGTATTGCACTTGAAAAAGAACAGATACTTAACATGCAACATGAACACTCCACAACAGCTTCAGTAACTGAACCTGAACCAGGTCAGAACATGAGCTTGCTTCTTTGCAGTGTATGCTAGTTTTCCTACTCTTTATTTCTTCCTATACTGGCATGTTCCATATGAGGCATGACCATATAGCCTGTCAAAAACTGTTCATCATTAAATCATAATTTTTAAATTAATATATATTCTTATATTTAATATATATTTTTATATTTCTTTGCAGAAAGAGTCATATTTATTTGTCTGCTGATTTAAATAACCATATGCAAATTTAGTTAAGTAATTTGACCTTGTGTATTTTCCTGGAGAAGCATCAATATATACTATATCAACATAATGAATTTGGCATTTTCAAAGTGTCTTTGTAAACTAGTAATATAATAATTAATAATTACAGGAGGGCAGGAGAAGGAAGCAGCATTAAAAAAAACATGCCACCATATCTGAGGAAAATAAAAATAATCCTAAAGCATAGTAATTTTTAAAGCAAAACATTTTAGAGGAGCATTGCCTTCTATATCCTATTTGATTTTCAGAAATCATACTACCTGAGTTTGCAGAGGATGATTTTCCAGATATGCCAGAAATGGAAATAATTAAAAAGAAGATTGACCTTTTCATGCATGACTGGCAAACAGTGGAGTCAGAAATCAAGCAGTCATCTCTAGTTCAAGTTGTTGTTTTAGAGATTGCTGAGCAAACTCCAGAAAGTCTGCTTAATCAAACTGTGCTGGTTATGGAAAGTAAGTGATACTGTTTATGTGATTGCACTTAACCTACCAAGAATGATTTGATATTGTACGATTTGATATGATGAATATATTGGAGGGGTAGATTATACTCAGTTCTGTATTACTCACATGAAGTGGCAACAGGACATGCTGTGTTCTGTGGGTGAGCTGAAAAGCACACTAGCAGCCTTTAAGACATAAGAAGAGTGGGGAATATATATATTTGAAAAATACATATATGGCTATACAAATATGTACACAATAGCTCCCTAAACATTCCGACAGCACAGTTCCCCAGTTACTTGCTCTGTCTGTTCATGTCAGGATACTGGTTTGAGAAACGGACAGATAACAAAGGTTCACTAATGTACAATATTCATTTAAGCCAATGAGACTGTCAGGGTGTCTCTACCCATCTGCGCAGTATTGATATTTTTTTGGCAAATTACCTTTCTTCACTTGTGAAGTTTGAGTACTGGATAAATAATATTAATACTACATTTTTCCTATCATTACTACAATGTAAATGTTTTATTAACCAAAACATCTATTGTGCTAGCTTTATAATTAAATTAAATTTGACTGATGATTTTCCCCAATGAACAATAGGAAAAAAACCTGTTGCAAACAGTAATGGCACTATCTGCGTGTGTTTGTATAATACTTTTGTACTACAAGTTACCGATTTACATCAACCAAAAAACAACCAGTAGAATTTCCATTTTTGGAGGAAGCGATACATTAATTCCTACATCCGGGAAGAACGTTTTGTTCTAGGAGTAGGAGAAATGCAATATACAGTGGGCATGATTTTCTTTCATGTATGTGCTTGCTTTTATGGACAAAGAGAATAGACTCTAGCATAGCCAAATAAAAAATATTTAAACAGAAAAAAAAACACCTTTCCAGAACCTTTTAAATATCATGGTTGGGAATTATCTGCTGAAGACTTAGATGAGGAAGCAGAAGATCTGGCTGCTGAAGGTGAAGATGAAGAAGAAGTTGAAGAGGAGGAGAATGAAGATGAAGAAGTAAGCATGCTGGCTTTCTCTATTTATGCTTTTACTTTAATTCATTTTTTTTCAGGTTGAACATAACCCCAGGGAAGTCAGATTTTGCACCTGATTTTGTATGATCCAGTTTCAGCCTTCTTACAGAATAAATATCAGCATTTGCTTCAAGAACACTTTCATTGTATTCCTATGTTCTGGGTGATAGTAGTTTTACTCCAGCAAGAAGCATAAATACCCCATGCTAACAGAGAGAATGAATGTACCTACTTTTGCCAGATGGCAAAGAGGGGTTTTATTGTAGAAACAAATTTGAACTTTGATTTCTGTCAACTAACAATGATTCTGTGAGCCAACATATAAACATCAGAAGATGCAGAGTCATAATGTGCAATCCTCTGTTTCATCTTGCCTACTGATAATTTTCAAACATCCACTTTAATGAAGTTAAAGGTCTAGCTTCACCTTTCTTTTATTTTCATCCTATATTGGAAGTTGCCCATCCCCAAATTTAACAGTACAACATATCCATATACTGCACTGGAACAGTATTAAATAGGTTTTTTAGAAATTAATTTTATTGGATAAGTAATCTGACTTCATAATACCAGTTCTCATTGCCTTTTCTGAAGAGGTCTACTTCTGCACATTTAGAAGCAACAGAAAGTGAGTTTCAAGAACACAGTAGGAAAAGATTTTATAATAGATAAATTCTAGCTTAATTTTGGTCTTCCACAGCTAACAATGATATTATAATTTCAAATTTAAAATTGTCATTCTTTTCTCAATAATTGTCTCACTAGACTGGACAATTTGTTATTTGACTCTGAATCTAAAAAGTATGCATTTTCATGGACTTATATTCAGCTTACAAACTATCTTGAGAGTATCATTCTCATTCAATGCTCAGTTGATGTATTTGACATTACTTTATCTGATCTACTTAGTCTACGTGAACTACTGAATTCAAATAGTTTTTGAAAATTTTTGTATTATTTTCAGGATGAAGAAAAAACTAAGGAAAAGAAAAGGCATATGGGAGACACAAAACACTTTTGTCCAGTCAGTCTGAAAGAGAACTTTGTCCTTTACCCAGGACTCTACGAACATGCAGCTAAATATCAGGAAAAGATTTATTACTTTTCAACTTCTGAGTACAGAGATAAATTTTTGAAGAACCCTGAGGATTATGTGGCTCACAATGAACCAATACAAGTGAGAACCTTCAAAACTGTTTAAAGCAGATAATAACAGATTAAAATCACTATTTCCCACTCCCATTCATAATTGTTTATTATTGCTGATTTTTTCTAGGTATCAATAAATATATCAGGCAAGTCCTTGAAACAAGAAACCCACATTGCTTTCCTAGTGACTTTTTAGTGTACATTTAAATTAAGACATTGAATTAATGATGCAGATAAAGCAGAAAAGAGAGAAAGATTATAAGGGCTTACAATAATAATAAGATGTGATTAACAAATCACAAATATTGGGGTTTTTTTTTACTATCTTTAAGTCTTTTTTTGTAAGTTGAAGAAGGGTAAAAGAAGGGAAGATCTATCAGAATTGTCTAATGAGGTTTCATTTTTACCTACTGGCATCGACTGCCATAGTGTATTTGTTCAGTATTTCCAGAGAGCAGGTAAGCTGTTTGGAACAGCAGTAGAAAGCCTGGAAAAATAAAAATGCAAAATGATGTGACTATTTTTGATGCCATCTTTGTAATGATATTTTGAAAGTGAAAAACAGTAAGAGGTGCACTGTAGATTCCAAATTGTTATAAAATATTCCAATTCTTCCCTATAGGCTCCTCCTTTACGGGTGTGCTTACTTGGGACTCATGGAGCAGGTAAAACTACTTGTGCACGACAGATAGCAGACAAATTAGGCATTTTCCATATTCAGTTTGAAGAATATCTACAGGAATTGATCTTACCCAAAACTAAAGAGAAAGTTGGGCCCGATTTTGATGAAGAACCTCAGGAAGATGACAATAAAATGCCAATTCTATCACAAGAGCTAGACGACTTCTTTCAGACTAAAACTGAGGTTGAAAAAAGCAAACAGGTAACAATCTGATCTTTTTTTATGTCCATACACAAAATAACCATTTTCAGACCAGAATAGGAATTTCCTATAAAATTTTAGCTTGATAAAAATCACTTATGTTAAATTATTTACTTGAAGAAATGTGGAAACAATAGCTTTTGAAAGTGTTTTCTTATGAATGCCACAAACATTCTTCAAAACATTTCCAAGAATTATATACAGGTGTTTTCTAAACAGTAGAGATAGGTGCTAAATGGGGCAAAGGAAGACAAGTTTTTATAATATGCAGGTCATATCTTGTCAAAAGATCAGAAATATTTCAGTGTTCATAACAGGGTAAGCGAGGTTTTGTAATCTGGATTGTAGCGTTGTCTTTGCCTAATGGCAGCAGAGTTTCAAACCAGAAAAACCTCTCAGATAGCATAAAATATGCCTTGTAGTTAAAAAACTGTTTAAAACAGCTGGATATCCATGACACTGGTAAAACAATCCATGAATGATAGTTTTCAGAAAAATAGTCCTTTTTCTTAATCAGATTGAATACTGGTTGAAAATCGTCATTAATATACATTCTAAAATGTTTATCAGGAAAGGGTGATTTATTTTATTAGACAGTGATATATTGGGAAAAACAGACAAGGTTTCAATGCAAATGAATTCTTCTTTAGACAGCAATGGATATGATAAAAGCCTTTATTGTGTGGAGAAGTCTCAATACACAGGTGCACAGCATATGAATCTTTCAAAAAAATGCACAGTAAAAAGACATTGAAAATCTGCCTCCTAGGCAATACAAATAAGGGTTTATCCTCAAAGCTTCAGGAAGAAATAAGTTTCTGAATCACATTCTAAGAGCCATTTTTTTGTGCTCCTGATACCTGCTACGTTCCTTCAAGCTCCTAGTAGTGTTCCTGATGAAGTAATACAAGAACAGGTAATACTGGAAGCAAATGCTTCCACACAGGTGGAGTACAGATCAACATCATGGATGTCAGAACAAAAATTCAGGTTTTCATCAATTAAATCTAAGAGGACATTCTTTTGGCGAGTCAGTTTACAACTTGGTCATAACAGCCAAAAATATGGCAAATGTTCCTGGCCCTGACAGTTATGGGTGGCTCACTCAGCTTTATTTTTTTGGCATCAATACATGTCTTACACTAAGGCACTTCTGTTAGTATTTCTTCCTCATCATCTTTTTATCTGCTGGTAAACAATCTTCTTCTACATTAGTATTTTTTCTCACACTTCTTGTAAAGCACTTATCTGATGGCATGACCAAAGCACGGCTGATGCAACTGCACTTCATTTTAGAAACCCATTCATTGGTCCACGCACAAAACTGTAGAGGATAATTTCCAAGGCTGTGGACTCCCTAAGCATTTCTCTGAGTATGACTACCATCAGATTGTCCAACTATCCTGTTTTTCACTGATCCACTACCTCTCCAAAATAATTTCATTTAAGTTCATTTGTATCATTCTCTTTCACTTTGGCATAAGATGCTAGAAGCGTATCTATCAAAGCTTAAGGTAAATGTCAACTATAATATTCAAAGCAAAGATACTAAAGGCAAATAAAACATACCATGCAGTCTGGGAAGTTCAGCAAAAAGGTGTCATCCTGGCTGTTTTAGCATGTGTCAACCAAAGCCACCACAGCATTAACAGGTCTGGAGAGCAGCCTTGTCCTTCGAACCATCGCTATGCAGCGTGTTCTCTTTTCTGTACCTGGAATATACATCTCATGTTTCTTTTCTTTTCTCAGATACAAATGCCATTTCAACAATTAATCTGCAGTGGTGATGTCAGTGATACATTTTTACACGGGTTTTGCTGTTTTCTCCCACTTCACACATTTCTTTCAAGGTGTCTCTGTGTTACAGATCTGGCTACCACTTTTGCCTTCTTAGGTATCTGTGATGCTATACTAACATCTTTTAATATATGCTGTGTCAGGCACTAGAGAAAATATTGCTCACACACACACTACATTAGACCCGTGGCTTCCAGCATATTCTCAAGTTCTTTTGTCTATGTTATCAAAATAGATGTTGGGCATAGGAATTCTTATTCAGACATGTCCTTGCAGCAAGCAGCTCTCTACTATCATTTTGAGGGTTCCTGAACAACTTTGGATCCTTTTGTTTAAAAAGGCTTATTCCTTCATTTTCTGACAGGTTATGCTAACAAATTCTTGAGCAATTTGGGTTAATGTGACTACTACACGAGGAAAGGACAGCAGAACTTTGCAATGAATTCACAAAAGAATCTCAGGGGACAACTTAAATCCATTTGCTGAGAGGGACAGGAGAATACCTAGCTGTGTGTTAAGTTTTTTCTCCAAGTGATTTTGGATGCAACTTAGGGGCATGTTTGATGGCCACTGACATTTAAAAAACACTCTTTTGGCAGTGTATATCTAGTCTGTTTAAACAAATATAGATGACTCTTTACAAATGAGATCTTTATAAGGTATGGCAGAAAAATAATTGAACTCTTTAAAGGATACCAGATACATTTCTCTTAAGAACTTTGCCATTCCGTTTTCAGGGAAAAAAATATCAGCTAACTAGAAAATATTTTTTTCTGTGAATATTACTGAGAAAAAATAACACAGCAGGTCAGGAACAGTGATATTTTCTGACTTCTAATGTTGTCTTCTATCAGGTATACTAAAAAATAAAACTAAAAACATGTATTTTGATATTGTGACTGATGTAAAGTAATCCAGAATCACCAGTCTATACCCTCTTTTCATTCTTTTTTGCTGCAGTTTGTGTCAGGAAGCCATTTTATGGGAAGTGCATCCTCAGCCATATCAATCTCACAGTGCTGCATATTCTGAAAAAAACAGTTTTTCACAAGAACTTAACAGCTAGATTTGGTATTTGAATGCTCTGCATTTGACTAGTCATTAATACTACTACTGCTCTGTAGAACAATGCTGTCTTTCTGATTTCTGGTCACGTGCCTATACCCAGTAACCTTACATATCTTTCTTTGACACCTTTCTTTGGATTGCATCAAAAGATAAAAGTTGCTTTTAAAAAGTAAAAAACCATTCTGATGTAGAGTGGATAGTCTTCCAGCATGAGAACATGTATAAATAAGTGGAAAACTTGTAGGCAATTAGGAAGAACTGTGATCATTTCAGTTTCTATCTCTCTGAATTGAACATATGTATAATTAAATACTTAACAGTTGTGCTTGGGTTTAGGTTTCACTGAAACTCATACAGCAGCAATTGCCCCAACTCAAGGGAATTACCCAACCCCAAGCACGTCGAAAATATCCCAAAATGTATAATGTAGTACAGTGAAATGTGGCAAATGAGTTTACTTTGTTTCTGCTGGTTTAAATCAAATTAAGACATTACCTTACTTAGTCAAAAATAAATAAATGTGTCAGGTGGAACTTTTTTTTTTTTCATTTTTTTGTGGATCTTCTTTATCTAAAGGAAGTGGAGTTAACTGATGAGGAAGGAGCAATCAAAGCAAATCTAATGGATGATGAGGCACTGCCTCCAGAAGTCCTTGATAACATTGTTCTTGACTGGTGGAGGAAAGAGCCATTCCGGTAACTGTAATTAGATTCTCTTTCTTTAATTAATCTTAGGAAGTATATCATCCATTGTGTCCACAATTACAAATAGCTATTGCAGAGATTGTTTCAATGCTTTTGTACTCCTTATGAATCATGACCTACCTCTCAGTCTTGGTTTTGTTGCTCTATTTTGATTGATATATTGACAGTAGTATAATGTCTCATGTGCTCTACACAGGACTGGACAAAAGTACTTAGTGCTCTTAAATTGGATTAAATCTTCTGAATAGTTAGGTAGTTTTCATGTGCTTACAGGATAGATATGTAAATAAACCTTTTATGTTTTCATGTAATTAATAAATGTGGAGAGCTGGAGTCCAGCTGTGCCTGTGGAAAGCAAGGACAAAGCATCAGTGGTCTCCCAAATAACATTCTAAGAGCTCCAACAAGCCATAGAGCTTTCCAGACATATCTGACCTGTTTTTACATCTCTCTGGAAGGGAGATGTAGGTCATGCAAAATTCTCATCCTATACTAGAGAAGAAATTGTCAGGCATTTCTGAAAAATAATTTTTCAGGCGACAAGCTTTCTGTGGCAGATGTTACCAAAATAATGTTTGGGGCACCTTCTATTTTTTTGAGAGCAGTGCCTAAGAAGTAGTTTTTAGAGTCACACGAGCAATACTGAGGACACAACTTATTTTGGCTTGTTAAAGTTTTTTTTAAATAATTAACCTCTGCACATTAAAACCTCAGAAGAAATACATCTGTTAGTACACCAATTATACACATAGCAAAGTATCAGTTTTACATTGTCAAAAGATAATACCTGAAAGTACTGTTTTAATTTTACTCTTAACACATACATTTAATAAGGGAGTTTGTTTTTTTTTTCCCAAATTAATTGCATTTTCATTGTATTGCATTTTAAACTACATTATGTAATGATAAATACCTTATTTTCCAATTAGGTCCACGGGATTTATACTGGATGGTTTCCCTCGTACTTTAGATGAAGCCCAGTATTTGTCAGAACGAGGACTCTGTCCTGATGTTGCAGTTTATATTCAAGTAGAAAAAAGTGACATTCTTGACCGTCTTTTTCCTCCACGTCTGAAAAAATGGAAAGACAGACAGTATAAAAAAATGGAAAATAAAAAGAAACTGAAAGACCTGAAAGCAAAAATAAGGGTAAGTTTTCCGACCTGTCTCCTTTTTTGTAATAATTTCAGCAGCACAGGTCTAAACACAGATTCTAAAACTCCCAAAGCAGTGAAGAGCAACAGAGAAACGGATATGGGAGCCAGGAGACACAGCCCCACACATTCACAGCATTCCTAGATTTATCATAGGAACCAAAAAGAAGTTAGGGCTCCTTTCCTCCTCTGCAATTAATTCATGCAGGAGTTTAGATATCTCGCAGCCCAAGACAACTGCCAGACAACTGGCAGTCTGACAGAGTGCCAGACATCTGGGAAGTCCAGGACAAAAGGCAAGAAGATGGAGAGAGTGGATATGGCCATAAGAAATCGAATACATAACTTGCACTGTACTGTTGTTGCATCCTGGATTCCCTGAGCACGTGCCGTTGAGTTGATCAGCATCTCCCATAGGCTGACTTCACAGGTGCTGTAGGGTGTACACGTTTGTGTTTCTAACCCTGATACTCTGCACAGAAATGTAGTAGCACTAAGCCACATTCTCAGTGCTGTTGCAGCTGCACAGTCTCCCATTTGAATAAAGCTGTGCCTACTACTGAACAGGTTACAGGTTACTTGGAGTAACCTGAAACCCCTATGCACATTTACAACCAGCACATGCAATATATTCAGGGCTCCTAACTTTCTACAGAAGTGAGATAAAGTAATTCACATATACTGTCAGTAAAAGGTCTGAGCATAAGTTATTACAGAGCAGCTGACACACAGGAAGTTAGTAAAGTGGAATCTGGAACAAGGCTCATACAATACCAGTAATTTTTCTGAACTGCTTGTGCCAGAGGTTGGCTCTGAGAATGCATATAATCTAGGAGAGTTAAAGTATTTTTCTGATTTAGTCTTTCCTGATGGAAGTTGGAAATCTTGCCAGAAAATGTACGTTCTAGTGACCAGCCTAAATTGCTGTACTAAGCTCACCCTGTAAGCAGGTACATGTAAGTAAGGGATAACTCCAGTGGCAAATACCTGTGTTACAGATCCTAGGGTCCAAACTCATAATGAACAGTGTAGGCATCAATGTGGTTCCTGATGGCAAAGGAAAATAACAGGTTCCTATTTAAAACATACACAAAAGAGTGATACAAATTGATAAAGGCATTAAGAAGAAAGGAAAGATCAGAATCAGGATTCCTGAGCAACAGTCATTTAATATTTTTGCTCACGTGTATTGCAATACAGTTTTTAGTTACACATTGAGTATTTTTCCATAGCATACAGTTGGTGAGCAAGTCAGATGGTGCTATGAGAATGCAGCATTGCTGAGTGTACTGTTAACCCTTCTTTTCTTACTAAAGCTAGAGGACATATAGAAAGTCTGGGAAAAGCAGACAGACAGTTGAATGCTACCTTCGAGTTTCCTTCTCCACTGAAAGAAGCTGGCAACAGTGCATTGAGCAATGAGTACATCTGCAGTGCAGTGTGGTCCAGGAATGCCAGAGTTTAGTCACAAGGGTAGAGAACATTTGTGCAGTTTCTTGCTGCTCTGCTTAGAATGCGCTGGTATCCAGGCCACTTTGCTCAGAGTTAACATGGATTTCTCAAATTGCACTATTGTGTGCATGTTGACATACTCAGTTTCTCTGATCTCAGTTCAGGTGACAGCATTACAGCATGCAAGAACAGCAATTACAGGTTGAATCCCCATCAACCCCACAGGCCTTAAGTAGAAGGCTTCTGCCTATTACTTCTGAGTTAGGATTTAGCTATCAGGTATTTGACATGTATCTACTGATTATGTATGGGGGACTATATTTCAAATGCTTATAACTTGGTCATAATTGGGCAGTTCTAAACAGGCATAGGGAACAGTACACATTTAATACTATGCTCAGTTACCCCTTTGCCAAATGGCAGAAACCACCTATAAGTTTAGAAACTCTGTAGTTTAGCAATAAAAATATTCTAATATTTTCAGTGTGATCAGAATCAGTGTGGTTCCCCCCCCCATCTCAATCTCAGAAGGTGCCAAATTAGTTTTACTAAAATTTACTTACATGTTCACCTAATAGAGAGGTGTATCTGGTCTGCAAAATTCCAAGCTGCACAGATAGTATTTTTTAACATTAGAAGCAACTGGAAACAGTTTTCAAGTGGAAAGAACATTAATTCTAGATCACATTACCAATTCTCAGAGGAGAGCTTTTACTAGCAAACATCATTATCTTCTCACATCTTTTTTTCACTAACAGGATGAGAGGATTGCTAGAAGAAGGGAAGAACTTTTGGCAGAAAAAAACCAAAAGAAACAGGAGGTAAGAAAACAAGCTAATAAGAAATACTTTAAATAGAACTGTTTGCATTCATATCTTAAAAATTTCTAGAGCTTTTAGTCAGAGTTTTCAGGGCAATGTAGAATAGTAAAAATGTGATAGACTGTCAGACACTTCTAGTTTCAAAAATAATTTGACATGATGTTTGAATTGTTTTAGAAACTATTGACTCATGAACACTAAAAACAATTTTAAAAGAATTCTCAATTTGTGCTCCAATTCAGAAAAATACTTACAGGTGTGGTTAATGTATCTAATTTGTAAGCATATGAGTAGCCCCATTAATTGCAATTAGGCATGTGTTTTAAGTACTCTGTCAAATCTGTGGTTAATCCAGAATAGGATTTTACCACAATTTCTGCCCAAACTCAGTTACAAAATATATTTATAGATGCATTAATGTACTACTTGACTGCTGATGAAATTCTGTCAGCTACACTTTCAGCTAACATGCTCATTTATAACAAAGTTCTGCCAAACTACAATACCACGTATGAAAAAAAATACTCCTCTTATCAAAACTGCAGTGTAGCACTTCAGGTTTTTAAGCTCTCTTGGAACTGGTACAATGCTTCACTGTATGCATTATGCATACATAACCCTCTGTATTTTCTTCTGAAATATGATTCTAGCATTTACTAGATTTTTGCTTACAATAAAGGATACCCCAAAATGAGGTTTTGTTGAATTAGTGATTTTTCTAATTACAAAAGAGACAAGAATACCGTATGTTCCTTCAAAATATCTGTATCATAAACATGAAACGACAAAATAATTTACCTTTATAGGCTTTAGCAAATAAGGAGCATTATGAAGCCACTGAGGAGGAAGATGAGAATGAAAATGAAGATGTTGAAGCTATACTTGAAGAAGAGTTTTTAGAAGAAGAAGAAGAAGAGGCTGAAGAAGAACAGGAGATTGATGCTATTGAACGCATACAAAATGAAATTGCAGAAAAGTTTGATTCAGAAATAGATGGTTTACAAGGTGTACAGGTACCTATTTCACTGCTTATTTTGTTAGATTATAGGATTGCATGATGCAAGAAGAGTTTTCAGTTTTATTTGTCAAATTTAAAAGTTATAGTGCTTAAACAATCATGCTGCTGTACTCATGATCTAAATATGTGAGCAAGATGAAGGCTGTAGTGAGAAGGTATATACTTTAAAAAGTATGTAATTTATAACACTAATATTGTGGGGGAAAAGCAACGGAAAATTTCAAGGTAGACTTGGGGTCCTTATTTCCTTTTTGGTAGGTCAGTTGATGCAGGCAACCAACCTAGAGAGTCATAAATATATGAACAGTATTTCTAAATAATTTTAAGGCAAAATTCTTGTTAGACAACTCTAATTTTTTTATACAGTTCTTATTAACATAATTTTCTTGAAATCAGTGCAATTACATATGGTGAGGTAACCTCATCTAACTTTACATATCTGCAACGTTAATGCCCACGTCTAAGGCATTAAGTAGATTGGTGCCATTTGTTTACTGTATACTAAGTATCTTACTTCAGAAGAGTGAATAAACAATTCAAGACATTAAAGAAGAAATCCCAGTAACAGCCTTAGCTCTTTACATGAGCAATACAATGTTTCAAGTTAAAGCTAGTGGAATACTGTAGTTCCTCTCTGGCATTTGGGAGCATATAGTTTGTTGCATTAGTAAACTGGTGACAAATTTGATCAGAAAAGGAACAGGCAATTAAGAGTCAGCAATTTTTGTTTCTCTCAAGAAGTACATAAATCTCAGTGACAAGAGAGGTGACTAGCGTTTTAGAATTGGTTATCATACTGAGTTCTGCTTACGACAGTAAGTGGAAAGATCCAAGACTGTGGATCTATATAGATATTGTATGTAAGTTGAGGAATTACACAGAAGTAGTATCATATAATAGAATTACATATTGGGACTAGATACCACTAATATTCCCTAGTTACAGCTTACTCAGTATTTTTGCCATTATTTTTTTTATTCCAAGAACATTTACGCCTTTATAAATAACTCTAAATAACTTATTATTTCTGATTCATTATTCAAGACTATTCTTTACTGTTCTCTGACTCCTTAATTGTTGGTCCTCTTTGACATTGCGGAATCTTGGTCTTTTATGGAAAACTAAATGATTACATTAAAACACATTAGCACTTGTAAAATTATTACATGGCTAGAAAAAACTCTGTAGAAAATGGATTGGTTTTATAGTCGAATAAGCCAGGGAATAATAAGTCACCAGAGAGCAGCAATGTTTTTAAAGAGTAACTAAATAAGCCATCCTAAATTGTTTGGAGTAGAAAAAAAGAATGATATTTGGGGTTTTTTTAAATAAAAGATACTTCTCAAGCTTTAGCTTTATCATAGTAGATTCCTCAAAGTTAACTGTCAGATTGTCTTTTTTTTTGTTTAAAAAAAGTGTGATACTTAACATAGGCTGGGTAATTTAAACTTCAGTGGGCAGGAAGACCAATTCTCATCTCAAACAAAATTTTGCTGATTTATGGTGTCTGAGAACACGTTCAAGAAATCCTTGATAAATCTCAGAAAATCTTGCTGTCAGTCATTATTAAAAATCTGGTCATGTTTATGATTCTAACATTTCATTATGTTTTCATTAACCAGGAAGAACTTGAAAAGTTGTTAATACCACAAATCAAGATCAATGGAGGACGGAAACCTCACATTGTACGCTACCAAATATATAGCAAGCTGAATTCTCTAATGGAAAATCGTGGAAGCATTTTTGAGAAATGTTACCCGATAAGTTTGCCACTTGCACATAAGATGTTAGTTTACTCATATAAATTTCCAAGTTCTTTTGGTCAGTGGGATCCAATCAAGGTAATGTTCTTAAATAGCTGAAGAGTATTTTCAAGAAGTAATACTTTTAAAAAATATATTTCACACAAAAAAATACTATCAGACAGTAGTAACTAATACCAGAAATATTTACTGTAAACTACATCACTGAATCAAAAGTACACCACCGAATACACACAAAATACAGCAAGCATTGATAATAAAAGGTATTGATCTTTTCAGTGCTGCAGCTAAATTAAGGCTGAGAGGCATCTAGTAAAATGTTACATTAGCATTGGCAACACAATTAAAGGTGGCACTGAATCAGAAAGAAATGCCTAATTCTTAATGATACACAAAACACAGGAGGAGAAGGCCTTAAAGCCTTCCAGAAGCAGTGAAAACAAAGGATTTGGGGTTTGAATTTGTAAGAAGCCACACAGGTGGCCATCAACCCTAGCAATGGCAAAAAAGCTGAACCAAAAAATGTTAAATGTATGTAATTCATCAGCAATAATTCTTTGTTGTCAAAATTTACAAACTTTGAAGAGCAACCAATCTAATTCCATAGTACTTTACTAGAGAACTGGAAAGTCGAGGTCCAAAAGTACTCATGTCTGCCCCCAAAAGTGGGCTTTTATAGGTAGCAAGTGAAATGTTTGTGGGTACATTTTTTGTTTTAATGCTAGAAATAAAAGCAGGTTGGACTACGAGTAAATCAGAAATAAAAAGGAGGATTGATTAAAAAAGCCCCAGTGAACAAGACACAGAAAACAGGAAGTTCCTGAAGGAAATATACTTTGGCCTTCATTTTACTATGCTAATTAATCAAATAACTTTTATTCCCTTTTGTACGGTCATCAGGTTGGGTCTTCACCTGTTCCAGATCACATTTATCTTTCTTTAACCTTGGCAATCAGAACTGTATATAGCTCAGCTCTTACTATGGCTTCTATAATCAAAATACTTACTTAAAATGTTTTAGGATCAGAATCGCCATGTCCACGGCTGCATCAAAGTGGCATCTAATAATCTAGGGACATATTAATAGAGGCAGATATTTCTTCTCTTCTGTCATTTCCAATTACTGAACCCCAGCTTATATGTTTAATTCTTATTAGTCCCTACATACTAGACCTTGCACTTCGTTCTATTAGATTTCACTACATTTTTGTCATTCCATTTCTCCAATTCATTAATTTATGCTGTATAGTGGTTTTCTACCAACCAAAAAGTACAATTCAGTTAGAAGAAAGAAGTCATAGAAAGCTATTAGATAAAATCAGAGTGGTGTGCTGACAGTGGAAATGTACATGCTGATAATAATGAAAGGGAAATAGGATCATTTTGAAGGTATTTTAGGATATAATAGAAATTATGACATTGATTATGGACCAGAGGTTTTTTGTAGAAAGGCAGATAGAGTATATGCCAATTACTTTTAGATTCAATTTGGGGGGGAGGGAAGTAGTTACGCAACTGATTAGATAAGCAGAGAATAAAAATGATGAACTGAGGGAGGAACGGGAGCAGATATACAGTAGAACAGACTCCTGGCATCTTATAAATTGAGGGCAAGCACCCTGAAATGACTTGATGCAGGAATAGGAACCTAAGAATCTGAGAAGGGTCTGGCAAGGTAATGCCATGCAGTAGAACAATCCCATCTCTTAATGTAACAACCAGATCAACTTATCTATACATTTTCTGATTCCTTCAAAGAATACTAATAGATTTGTGAATTCTCTACAAGAAGCTGAGTTAGCTCTTCCCCGTTATTTCATATGTATGCCTGTAACTACTGTTTGTTTCCTGAATATATTTCAATTTGCTCAATACAGGGACAGGTTTGCTGGACTATGTTTGCCAGGATCCATCCTGGAGGTCTTTTCAAAAAATTACACTTTCTCCACCTTCCCTTTTTGTGGAAAGAAGGCCAACATAAGCAACAGGTTATTAGTCAGTAACAAGTTAACTTCTGAGTCCCTTCAGAACTGTAAGGTGAATGCCATCTGGTCTGGGCAATTTTTTTCTACAGATGTCAACAGTTTGTTCTAAAGCATCTTTTATTGACACTTTAAGGCAGTTCCTCCAAGAAGGGCTGCAACAGGGGTGTGACTGAGTTCTTCCTTAGTGAACAGTGGGGTAAGGAATTCATTTAACATTTCTGCAATGACCATTTCTCCTCTTACCTCTCAATGATCCATCAACACTACAGACTTTCTAGTGGACTGTCTGATGTGTTTGAAAGGACTTCACCAGCAGTGTATGTATGTATTTTACCAAAAGCTTGCCTTGTTGTGGCTTGCCTTGTTGTGGTTTTACACTTCCCATAACGTAAGTATTGATATTCTTCTCTGTTTTCTTCATTTGTACGTGACTTCTGCTGAATACAATATTCTTAGTGTATCTTCTACTGTCAGGCAGGTAAGTGGTTTTAATTCACAGAGGAATAAAATTATTTTCTTTATTATTTGAAAATTAAAAGAAGTATTACGTTATACTTCTCTGACTACACTCTCTTGATGGACAGAAAGTGCTACGGTACCACCTACTGGAAACAGTGAATATTCTTTGTCTTCAATGTTTACTTCATCTTTTTGTACAAGAATTGCGTATGTATGAAAGTTCCTCAGACTTGGACAAAATATTATGTCTATATGTATGAATTTCAGAATGCTTTGATGGTTTGTTTCATACACTTGGTACTCCTCTACCCGCCTATTAAGCCACTTTTGTAGGATGGAGAGAGAGGAGGCTTTGTCAAAACTAATAAAATGCTTCCCACTTTGTATATGCTACAGCTAAGTGAAGGAGATGTACTCAAGCCACAACAAAGCCATGAAAACACTGTCTTTCCTGTAATCCATCGACAATATATCTATTATTTTTCAAGTAAAGAAAATAAAGAAACATTTATGAAAAATCCCATCAAATATATTCGTCAGCCAAAACCTAAACCAGCTGTGCCAGTTAAGATAGCAATCGTGGGACCTCCAAAATCTGGAAAGACTACAGGTAGGAGCCAGTCTTATATATAAAGCAAAACCTTCTCTAATGACTGAAGCAGTATCTGTCATTACGGCTACTAAAAATCAGAAACCATTAATATTGTTGGACTTTCTGGTTTTCTTGCTGGGCACAGAATCTTTTAGTTACATTCTCATTTGATGATCAGATACTTATGCATTGTCCATCTGAATTTTATCCCAGCTTCTTAGGAAGTTAGTGACCTGGACTGGCACTTAGAAAATCTAGACTTAATTTATACCTCTTGTATTATTTCTGATTATTTTCTAATAATTTCTTATTTCTTTACATCAATATGATCTAATGTAAAATTAAGAAATGTTCTTAGGATCAAGGACCAGAACCCAAAACTCCGCATTCCCCAGTCTGTTTCCAAACTTAAAGATTAAAAAACCCAAGATTTCTATTCTTTCTCCCCTCTCCTTCTTCCTCCATAACTCTTTCAATCCACAGGACTCTGCCTTTAACTGGAGGAGGAGACAATTCAGCTTATACACTAGCTTAATGATTAGAATAGGGTGTTAGAAAAAGAAGAGACAGGTTCAAATTATCTCATAGTAAGAAGGAAATTTTAACTGTATTTCCCATTTCCTGGATAAATGATCTAACTGCTAGGCTGTCTTGTAAAAGAGGCAGCAGTGGAAGCATATTTTCTAAGAGATTTTGTAATAATATTGACTGCTGCTGAGGTTTGTGCTGAATTGAAGGCCGTTAGTGAGTTGGGCATGCTCTGCACATATGCAAAGGTTCAGGCCCTTTAGGGGCCTAAGCAAGGTTAGGTACCCACTTACCAAGATTATGCATTGGAAATGACCCAGAGAATGAGCTCTCAGCAGTTTGCTTCTAAGACTAAGGACATACTTGAACATACTGGTAGGTTGTAAAGTTGCTAACGTAAAAGTTGTATGTTGAAACCAAAATGTTTTGCAGTTGCCAAGAAATTTGCAAGTGTCTATGGGTTACTGCGCCTGAGTATGGGAGATGCCATACGGCTAGTGCTAAACAATCAGCCAGAGAGTGAGTTGGCATATATGTTAAAGTGGCATCTTCACAAAGGACTGATCATACCTGATGAACTGGCCGTCCAGGCTCTAGATGTGGCGCTCATGAATCACGTGTGTAACACCACCGGGTAAGAGTCTTGTTTGGGTTTTGGGGTTTCTTTCAAGACACGCCACTCCCTTCACAGGCAGTGATTTCCATGTTACCACTGTAAAACGATTTCACTAAGGCACATCAGTGGTTTATGCGTTAAGAAAATAATGCGTACGAAATGAGGCTCTTCACATCACTCTCGGAAACCAGACTGAAGCACAATTTTCTACAATTTTCATGTAAGTATATTCCTATAAATCCAAGTAATATGCTTTATGAAAGTTACCTTTTTTCAGTCAATAAGCCAATATTTTCTATTATCCTTTGAGAACTATGATTTTATTTCTCTTTTACCAACTCCAGTACCAGCTTGGACACATCTGATTCCCTTTGGTCATGCAGACTAGTTCAGTACTCCAGTTTTTTTGTGGTTTTGTTAACAACTGAAGTTATTAAGGAGGAACTGAAACCAGTGAGTCTTTCCATGTCATTCATATGTGATCCTCATTTCCTAGGCTCTTTCTCCACCACTGAAACTCCTTCCAAACTGTGCCAACTTAAAAAACTTCATGATCATGATTTCACGACATTCAACTCCTCTCCCCAAAAAGGAAAATTGTTACAAGGAAAGGCAATTCTGGAATAATCTCTGAAAATTATTTGAGCTTGAGATCAGAATTCTTTCAACTTTTCTTTTCTGTTAAATACTGGAATATTGTTTCAGTATATTTTGCCCCAGTATTGCCTAGTATGTGAAAAGCATTTATTCTTCAATATGATTAAAAAAACCTCTTCACGTACTGTAAATAATTTTACTTTTTGCTTGGAAAACTACTCCTCTCAATCCATATGGAGATTTCCCATAGTTAAAATCATGTTTCTGAATGACTGGTGTGTCAGAATTTTAAAGTCCACCATTTTTAGAAGTCAGAGCCATCCACTTCCATTCCTGTGCCTTTTGCCCTTTGTTTATTTCCTTTACTCTTTGCTATTTCTTATTCTACCTTGATTGTAAATTCTTAGGAATGAAGACTGTGTCTATCAAGTCAGGGCAGTGATAACTTCATGGCATGGATGTAGACCTTTGTCTCTATTGAGAATGTACTAGGAATACACATAGTCTTAATGGTTAATTAGAAACTGACTTCTTAGGAAAACTGTCTTTCTCTTTCTGTTTGTATGCAGAGTTGTAATTGATGGATATCCTGTAACAAAAAAACAAGTAAACCTCTTGGAATCAGCTAGGATAATTCCAGTGAAAATCTTTGAATTAGAACTGGATGCAAAGGAAGTGTTCAGAAGAGCACTGTTGGATAAGGAAAGCACGAATAGGTAGTGATGCTCTCTGAATAGCAATATTTTCATCCAGATATTGTCATTTCTCTATTTACGTGTCTCAGTGCTACTCCCAGAGAGGCTGTACCTAAGCTGGTACATAACCCAGCTGTCTCCGAACTCCACATATGAAAAAACATGGACGCCAGTTCCTCTACATTCTAATGCTTTGATTTCCCCAGACCAGAAATGGAGACATAAGGAATTTGTGGCATGCTCTGGCCAGATCCCTGCCCACTGCTTAGTTAAATTGGTGGTAATGAAACCATACATTGGAAATGTTACTAGTTCACTCTGCTGCTGAAGTTTATTATTCATCAATTCAATTATTATCAGCATAAGGGAAATTGATACTTCATCTAATAAACTCTCGTTCAAGACTTAATCGGAGTTCTTTTTAAAAGATGGAAATAATGTACACAAGAATTTTAATAATGTATACAACTCATGAGTTACTCATCTAAGCCCTTCAATTCAGCTCGCTCCCTTTGTTTTTCTAAGCAGATAAATATTCTGTTTAAAGAGCCGTTGGTTGTTTTTGAGGAAGAGCAGTAAGTAGTTTATAGACAGACAGAATTAAAAAGAACAGAACATTCACCTTAAAATTAAATTGTTTAAGAACCTGGTTCTCATTAGAGGAAATGTTTCTAAGAAGTTCCAGATCGCTTAGAGCATTATTGCATGTCTCTTTCATTTTGTCTCTTTCTTTTTATCAAGTAATGAGTATAATGCTTAATTGTTTACTGAAAGCCTAAAGACAATTTGCATTGCAAAAAATTAAATTAATGCTGTCTTTTTGAAAGTATCTACTTTAAACTTTTCATTTTAAATACCAAACTAATTATATTTCATAGGCTTAAATACAAATCACATGTGCAATATCAGATATTTCTGAAAGGTACAACTTACAGAGAAATTAATCCTATTAAAACAGAAGTTTATCCTTTTTTTGGCATCATTTAACTTAAGAACCAGAACAGGAAATGATTCTATGTTCTAGTCAAAATATCTCTTCTGATCTTGCATATTTTTAGAGGCCAGATGGATTATTTTCACTTACGTATATGTGAATATGACAAACAGTTTTCAAAATATATCCAAGATGATGGCTACTTCTTGATTTCAAATAATGGCATAATTCAAAATTAAGCCTGTTTTTCAATAAATAATTTACTTCCATTTTAAAAGTCTCATAGCATTTTGCCTAGGGTACCACTTAATGTTGTATTGGTAGTGTGTGTCAGTTAATATGTGCTGATACATTCCGTATCCTTTGCAAAATTATTGAGTTGTATTTGGGACATAAATAGCAAAAGTTTTGTTCTTTGTTTCTGAATGTAACTGATCAGAAGTATGCTGCTTTTCATATGTAACTGGTAACAGTCTTAGTAAGAAAATTGTATTTCTCAAATATGTTCTACAATGTCAAATAAGTAGAATTTTGTAAAAAGGACTTAAAGTGAACTCTAGAATTTACACCTGAAATTCAATGAAATTATCTAATCTTCAGACTCAAATCAGTGTTATTTTTCATTATCTTCAGACTTCCCTACCCTGAACATGACAGCTCACAGATTCTAGCTATTAAAAATTCCTGCTATAAACAGCACATCGATGCAATTAGGACTTACTATAAGAAGGAGCATCAGAACTGGTGTGTAATTGATGCCTTTCAGAGCAAGTGGTGGATCTGGAACAAAGTACTGCAGGAAGTTCAAGTGGTTGTTAAAGAAATACAGATATACCTGGAAAGAATAAGAGAAGGTAAAAGAAAAACAAAGTTTCTCAGAAAAATACGTGTTTCCTTAAGAAGCTGCAATGTCATGAATGCATTACAACTTCAACTTGCTTTGGATGAAGCTAATTCTTGGGCACATACATACCCTCAAATTCTTTGATCTCATCTGCAGAGATCTTGAAGAGATCTCTTGAAGAAATCAAAGACAAAACCAACTACAGGACAGTCTGAGGCCATCCTCCAAAGAACAGGGGAACCGAATACAGCTGCAAGAAGTCAGAGGTCTCATGGTCCATGGCAGATTCCTCAACACTGGGTGATAAATTACAAAGGGTACCCCAAAGTATACAAGGGGACTATGACTTGCAGCTTCGCTTAAGTGTCAGTGGAAGAAGAGAGAAGGAGGGGGAAAATGTTAATTATTAAGTTCAGAATTAAGGTTAAATATGCCCTCTGAGTTATTTCTGTGCTGTGGGAGGAAAACTACTTTAGTCTAAAATGACACAGTTCCCACTCGAATTTTTGTATGTCAGCATTCATAAGGATTAAATGTGCCTTTTAAACATGCCTGTACAGTTTAACTAGAGTTCTTCTGAAGGGCAAACAGACTTCCTTATCTTATATTCACCTTTTGGTTTTAACTTTTACAGCTCTGTGGCTACACCCTTCTTAAAAAATGCAGCCATAAGCCAAAAATAATCATTTTTTCACATTAAGCTTGAAAAGCATGACTTTTAAATAGTTTGGGTTTTATATGATACTTTATTCAAGATTTTGAATATATTTCATGCAGATAGACTGTAGCACTGGCAAGACATGGACGAATAATGGGGAGGCTTTCATCACACCTTGTACTCTTTTTCAACATTGTAAAGAAATAAAATAATAGCTGAAATGTTCCTTAGCAACACAAAGGAGTAAAACAGTAAGTCATAAATAAAACTGTCCCAGGGAAAACAGACTAATAAGTTAAGCATGCAGAGTACCCCACAGCGTTAATAATTATTCTATTTCTTAAGTGCTAGAAAAATGTTATCAAAATTAATTAGTAAAATGGGTTGCAACTTCATTTTAATATCAATCTATAAAAATTGCTGGTTTAATTCTCATTATTTCATACCATTTTCACATGATTAATTATAGTATCTTCTAAATTGCAGCATTTCTGAATAGAAACGTTTGATGTTTCTATGTCTTTCATTAATAAAACATTATCATTAATTGCCTTTATTAACAGGAAAAGCAGCCAGCATTGCTGATTTATGCATCACTCCCGAAGAGCTGCAGTATCGGCTGGGGGAGTTTGGACAGTACTGTCCCGTCAGCCTTGCAGAAAAGGGTGAATTGGTTGACTGCTCTGTAACGTCATCATTGCAGTTTGCTGCAGAATTTCGAGGACACTATTACAAAATGGCTTCACAAGAAAAACTGGATGTAAGTGTCAAAAAGCAGGTCGGAAGGGGATTACAGGAAAAGGGAACATTGTTGCTTAGATTCTTTGATTCCATACAGAAACAAACAGTATGTGATCTGAATTAGACTAGTGTTTAGTATGCAAGGTTTTGTTCTCTGTACTGCTGCTATCAAACGTCCAGGCAGACAAAATGCAGCACAGTTCATTCAAACCAAAGCTTCTCTAACAAATTGTCATAGATGAAACATTAGTTTTAAAACAACCATTTCCTCCTTTCTCCATCTGTTTTGGGGAGACTGGGGGTAGGGAGTGGCTAATGATAGCAATGGATAGTGACGGATGGTGGGCAGATAGTGATGACTTCAACTGAGAGTGGGTTGGAAAAGAAATTACTTACTTGAGAGCAGGAGCAGCGCCAGCACACTGAGAGAGAGAGGTGTTGAAGAAGAAACAAGCATCTAAATTGTGTGAGCCAGTCCTCTGGAGTTTAACAGTCTTACAGTGCTTCTTTCATTATAAAAAACATGTAATTTCTTTTTCTACAGAAATTCTTGAGCAGACCAGAGGTTTATGTGCCACCACTGGCACCTCACCCTCTCCCACCCCCCGATATGCTACCAAAGAAACTGACTGCGGCAGAAGTGAAGGCCTTATTCCCTACAAGTGCTGAAATGCAGGGATACTGCCCAGTCACCTACCTAGATGGAAAGCAGAGGTACATCACTGCAGTTTTCATTATCTGAATTACAGACTGTGTGTTTTGGAAATCAATGTAAAATCACCTTTTGAGACTCATATGACTACAGGTGCTACAACTGTGTTGGCTTACTGTCTTTTCTGATGAAGACTTCTCGGATATAGTTTGAGTTTTCTCTACCATAAGCCTTCAAAAGTTCAAACATATTCACAAAACCTTAGTAGATGCAAAACTAGCTATTACAATTTTTATGAGAGATCCATAAAGCTCCACCATAAAGTCCCACTGATTTCCTCAGCGTGCAGGAATTTCTCATCAAGGTAATCGTAATAGTCAATTCTATGCTGTCCCTTCTTAATCTCCCGACCAACTACGATTGGCATTTTAACTAGAGGAGCTCTAAAGAAGCCCTATAAAAGCCCCTTAATAAGCAGATTTTGAAGCACAGACCCTCTCAGGTTTTGAGCCTTGTAACTGTCAGTCATGTGGTGGAAACTTGGGTGATCCAATTGCTACTTTTTTGTAGTACCTATACTTGCTAAATTACCAGAAGCTCATAAATTTACAAATCACAAATGATGTTTTACATTTCTTGCAAATTAATAGTCTTTCCTGCTCCCTCTCTTCAGATATGAAGCTTTGGTGCCTGGCAACATTGAGTATGCAGCAAAGTATCAAGAAAAGGTATATACTTTTGAAAGTGAAGAAAAACTGCTGAAGTTCATGAGGTGAATATACTAACTGCATTTTAATCTTTAATCATGTCACGGTTTATACATCTTATAAGTGTTTACTTTTTATCTGATTAGGTTACCAGGGAAGTACTGGAATCTGAAGCTTCCACATAAACTCCCTCCAATAAAGGAGCCAATACTACTCACTGCACTTCCTTTGGCTGGATACCTTGAACAGGCCAGTTCTTGTTTTTCTATTTTAAAACATGATTTTGCAATGGATAGTACATCCCACCCAGTTTGTTTCATTTTTAATGCAATATGAGTCTTATGTTTATTAATGGGATTATATTAAATTGAAAATTGTGTACTTACAATTGAGAGGAATTTTTTAAAAGCTTTAAAATAATAGATATTTGTAGCTTTAATGGAAAAATACAAGAGCATCAGAGGGGATAATAAACTGCCACACTATATGATGGATTTTCTGACTCTTTTCTTTATCATATCTTGTAAGATTACGTTTTGCTTTGATTTTTAGCGCCAGGATAGAAACAAGCCTATCTGGAACCATTTAAGGATACATTTTGAGACATGAATATGAAATAAAAAAAATTATTCACAGTCACTTCCCTCCCTATTTTATACTGTTATCTTCTACAATTCACCAGCTTAGATGTCATCCTATATTGTTAGATTTACATGACAACAGGATCAGGCTTTGAATGTATTTTTGTTCTGGATTTCTGTAATGGTCTCCTAAAACTGTTTTCTTTCTTTAGGGAGTAGCAACTTCTCTGATAAAAGCTCTGAGTGAAGTAGGCTGCTTAAAGCCAAAGTTTCCATTCCTAAGTGTAAAAGCAACTGCTCTGCTGTTTGTCGCCTGCCATTTAAAAGGTAGCGTATAAAATAACATGCCATAAAAATAATGAATTATAAAAATGCAGTAAATCATCTGATACAACATTGATAACCAATTTGCGTAGGTTTTTTATGTCCAACTTGGGAAAATACTATTACATACTGATTTAAGTACACACTGCCAAGTTTATTGGAAATGTGTACGGACCAGGGAGGAAAATGAGGTTAATCAGGTAGGTAGATAGGTAAGTGAGCTCTCACAAATTATGAGGCTTTAATGACATTTTATCACCAACAACCTGATGGCCTTGAAAACATTTCTAACAGGCACTGTTGGAGTTTTTAAGCAGGAAGTAAAATGTTATAAGCTAGGTGGTACTACATTTTAAACTAGTCATAGACAACCTGAATTGTCTTAAAAACTGACTAAAATTACTGTAATGAAAGGCTGCTGAAATACTATCCGAGGAACGGTTTAGGTGCCTGAATGCTTGCCTTTTCTCAGCTGTATCAGGTGGTCAAACCAACCTTAACAGACCTTGCCTTGCAGGTAACCTGAAGACAGCTTTCTGATCGTGCACATCTCCAACAACTATCAGCTAAATATGTAAATGAGAGGTCTAATTGTATCGAAAAACAGCTTAAGTGCACATAGAACACCTGTCATTTTCAAAAAAAGCCTTTCTTTTGCAGGGGCTCAGTACCGATACACCAAGTTACACAGCATGAAAGAATAAATATCCATGCAGATTTAGTAAAGATTCTTAAGGTTTTAGCACAGAGAAATTAATTGCTATTTATCAGTCTGCTTATTTGTGAAATTATCTGGGAAGAGCTAAATATTAACGTGATTCGGAGTATCGGTATGTTGATTATCTTTAACTTCTTTTTTTATTTACTCGACAGTCCAATCCACCACCTCACTTTTCCGTAATGAAGATAAACAGTCCAAAATTGAAATCAGGTGGTTTGTACTCATCCCACAAAACAATGATAAAGTAAAACATCTCACAGAGCTACCAGAGGTTAGGACTACTCCTTTGCTGAGGAAAAGTTGCTTAAGCCTTGTCTCCTGTGTTCGTATTTGCTGTTTTTTAGAATTTCTGTTTGGTTGGTTTTTTGCAGTCCAAGATAGCAGTTGCAGCTAATAATCTTTAATAGTTTGCAGTCAATCAGCCTAAATAGTGCCAGCTTTCAGGATTTCAACAGCCTAATTTGCAGGTCTGCTGTAGCTTTGGTCTGTTTTCTAGCACTGGTGGAGATTTCTGGAGCAAGACTGCACTTCTTCAACCCACCAGTTTTGCCTTTCATAAGCCAACTGTTCAGTGGGTGATCTTTACCTTGCCTTTTGTTATTTCGAATCTTTACTTCTTTCAGATAATGGAAATCTTTATTATTTGTCTAAAGTTCTTCACATTCTGCGTTTCCTCATGCAGCTTCCAGAGCCCTCCAGAATATTCTCGGACTATCAAGAGCTTTTTGCTGGCATAGCTTTGTTAAGGAAGACCACTGACTGACAGTGTAGGCACGCAATAAGCCCCAGTATAAACGTATGGTTCTTAAGCCAGCAAAACTGCTTTTATACTGTAGCTTGTTTAATTCACAAAGACTGTTTTCATTCTACTGTTAGCACAGCTTTGCTAACATAACCATGTCCTCGCTAGGAACGCTTTGCTTGTATATTGCATCACTAAATCATTACCAGCACTGGATGAGGAAATGGAAAGGTTATGCAAGTGCACGAATCTCTTCTCCTCATGCAGTGCCAAACAGTTTGACCGCAGGAACCCAGGAAAACAAGTCACCTTCTTCTAACAGCTGGTAGAACTGCTTCCAACTTTAAGATACAGCATTCTCATACACTGAAAAATCCCCTTTGCAAATGTAGCGTGGTTATTGTGTGGCTCTTCAGAGCAGTCACGCCATCCTTGATCAAAAACTTGATCAAAGTGCTTCATGTTGTGGCCCCTTGGAAATTTTTTACATCCTATTTCGATCTGAAGTTAAGACTTTCTCAGCTTACATTGCTCTCTAATCTCGCCTCTAAATAGGGTACAAGAAACTGTAGAGTGATGTAGTGCCCTTCAAACTTGACTCCAGTTAAGAGCTCTACATACAGCTGTGCTTGAAGAATCAGTCAGAAGCTGTGAAATGCAGTTGTCTACAATTTAAAGCTAGGGGGCTAAAGTGTCTCATAGCATAGCTCTTCATGCTGTCCAGTTTTTGTAATGAGATATAAAGTATCATTTCCAGGGGGAAAAAAAAGGGTTATGATTTGGCTGTCTTAAATCACTCCTTCCCCTTTGCCTCAGTGTAACAATTAAAATAATAAAGAATACTCTGAGGATTGGCACTCAACACTAATGTCTGCCAAAACACGGCTTAGGGCAGAGAGTTAAGAAAGAACAGGAACCGTACTGTCCCCACTGTAAAGTTCTTGGCCTTGACGCCTCCTCCCCCCTCTGAAGCATCAGTCAGCTCTTGGTTTGTCATGGGCAAAGCATTTAGGTCATAGAACGGTTGTGACAAGGACGCAGCGGCCCAGCGCCAGCCAGGCCGCGCCTGGGCTATCCCCGTGCAGCGCCATTTCGGGGTACGTGCCACCACGTCACCCAAATTTGTCATTGCCTCCATTATCGCCAGCTCCTCAGCACCTGAGGAACAGGAAGGCGGCGGTGGCTGAGCTCGGGTGCTACTTGCTTACAAAAGCCTTAATGAGTACCGTTACCCTTTTGCAGTCAGGAACTTCTGAAATACCAGACTTGATTTGTGTTGGTTTGGCGCCGACGGGCAGGGCCCACGGCAGTTCCAGCCGGCCCAAGGGTGACAACATCAGGCGCCGACCCGATCCCTTGCGAGGCCTCCGTAAGGTAATCGATCCCACGAAGTCACGAGGGGACACTAAAGCCACCGCTTAACTTCTTGCAGCGCACAACCCGCGGAGCCCGGAGCCGGCGCGGCAGGCGTACCAGAGGCAGCTGGGGCGGTTCCTGGAGCGCTGCCGCCTCG